AATGAGATAAGATTATGGGTGATTGTTCAAGCACAATTTGAATATTTCACAGTATAATTTGCTGTTCACTAATCACCGTTACTGTATTTTAATATTTATGTTACATGTAAACAGTTTGTATGTTGACTTAATATATTAACATCAACTATTATATAAACAGGCGGGGGGTTGGATGGCTGAATGGTTAGCGTGCGCGTGCTGTATCATAAAGTCTGTCATTGAGTCGACTGGCGTGGTTTCAAACCCCCGGTTGTACGTGACAAGGAGTAGGGTCGCCTGTCCAACCTCGTGGGTTTTCTCCGGGTCCTCCGGTTTCCCCCCACTGCTAAAGACCCCTACACGCAAGCGAATTATTGAAATAAAATTAAACCATATGTTAGTCCCGAAATGACCTAGTTTGTGTCGAGTGGACGTTAAACCCCATTTCTCTCTTTCTCTATATATAAACATGCATTACGCTACAACACATTTATTGTGTAGTTGTGCTGTTCTAGTGGGAGGAGTAGGGTTGCCTGTCCAACCTCGTGGGGTTTTTTTCCAGGTCCTCCAGTTTCCTCCCACTGCTAAAGACCCCTACGCGCAAGCGAATTATTGAAATAAAATTAAACCATATGTTAGTCCCGAAATCACCTAGTTTGTGTCGAGTGGAGGTTAAACCCCATCTCTCTCTCTCTCTCTTTGTTCTAGTGGGAGTTTCTGTATTTAATGGGGAGCCACGATGGCTAAGTGGGTAAGACTCTGGCTCACTAGTCCGGAAGTCGCGTGTTCGGTCCCTGCATTGGCAGAGAAAGTTCATCAGGATTTTCCGCCGTGGTTTCCCCTTGTCAGTGATGCAGGACGGAGGGCCTGACAAGGACAGCTGTCTAGTTGTTCGTGTATACATTGGCGTGCATGTAAAAGATCCCTTGGCAGTTGGAATTCGATATAAGAATAGGCCATAGTGCCACTGCTGGGCAAAATTTCCCTCATAGCACACTGTATGGTGTATGGTCGGCTTCATTAGCCCAGTTTGGAGTAGGAAGTTAAACCCCATTTCATTTCATTTCCTATTTCATTTTCTGTGATATAATGAAATCTTGATGGTTGAATTTTGACTTTTTGATATCTGATTAGAAATAATAAGTTCACATTAATTGAAGTTTACCATTTAAATTGTTTTACATCAGTTTAGCCAGAGAGAATTTGTTCATGTTGATTGTTAAGTCGACATAAAATACACTTCTGTTATTGTGATGTGCTAAAATTACATGTACACTATAACTCGCCAGTCATCATGTCCCACATGAGTAATATCTCAGTATGGATGGCCGAATGTTTGGCGTATGCGTGTTATATTATAAGATCTGTCATTGTGTCAACTGGTGTGGTTTTGATTGCCCAGTTGTACGTGACAAGGAGTAGGGTCGCCTGTCCAGACTCGTGGGTTTTCTTCGGGTGGTTTGGTTTCCTCCAACTGCTAAAGACCCCTAAGCGCAAGCGAAATGTTGAAATAAAATTGAACCATGTGTTAGTCTCTCTTTTTCAATGGTATGGATGCTTGTGGGAGTTTTTTAGACCCCTACCCACACATCTTGTGGGACATCGTCGAAGCGTTTGAACTGTACATGTATATATAATGAACTTATAACTTACATATATCAATTAATAATAAAAGATGGACTGGAAGAACATGTCTAAATGTGAAATAGATGACCATCGCAGGGTAAGATTAATAGATAAATGTTGTCCAGCCTTAATCCAGTATTAGATTTCTTGAATCTTTTTTTTTTTTTTTTTGTTTATTATTGCTAATTGTAAATTTTTGCTTTGAATGTTTATATATTTTTTTATTCATTAGCTTTAATGAATGGGACAATGATCCTGCAGTAGCTGTTGTGTCAAACAATCCACAAAACCGTGTTCATTTCATCTCATTTTTTGTGAAAAATTTCCTTTGAATTTTTGGAACTTGATAAAATTATAGTATGTCAAGAACCCTTGTTTAATATTCATCCATATTTATTTACATATGCATGACTGGATGTAGACATGCACATCCAGGTACAACAAAATGAAAGTAGCATATAAGTATGGTGGTTAATACATAATATAGTCCCGTCTTTAATATGTATCAGAGACATGGAGGCTCCACTATCTAGGGAGTCACAGATTCGATCCCAGTGTTAGCCCAGCTGTATACATTGGAATGCACGTAAAAGATCCCTTGGCAGTTGGAATTCGATATAAGAGTAGGCGATAGTGCCGCTGCCCGGGTAAAATTTCCCGTCTTCATTAGCCCAGTTTAGGAGCAGAACAGTAGGACATTATAAACCCCCATTTCATTTCCCAGTGTTAGCCAAGATTATCAGCATGGTTTCCCTTTGTCAGTGGTACAAGCTAGAGGGCCTGACAAGGAATGGCGTCTAGTTGTATGGATGGGATGAAAAATTAAGGTGCTGTGTACACATTGGGGCACATGTAAGAGAACCCTTGGTGGTTGGGATTCGATAAAGATTAAGAGGAAATGATTGCTGTCCAGACAATATTTCGTTGATCGCGCAGCATGACGTGTCATCTTCATTTAATCATTTAGTGCAAAATAATAGGACATGTGAAACCTCGTTTCATTTTTATCAGTGACTATTTGTTCAGGAGATTTTATTTTACTTATTTTTTTTTCAAAAATTAGTTATTTCAATATTTTCTTGATCCTTTGTCTACATGTACTTTTTTTTTAAAACTTTAGTCCCAAGCTTTTGCATGTCCATAGATTTACTAGTTTATAGGAAGGTTTTCAAAGGCTTTATTTCCTCCAAATATTTTACTTTAAATTGACAAGGCAAGAAATAATCCCACAATATTCTGAAACCTAATTGATATAAACTTCTTTTCGATGTCTATTGTTCAAAACAAACTACTAACAACAGTGGTTAAATTACAGTATTCGCAAGCTCAAGGCAGAGTCTTAAAAAGGTCGAGGGGAAATGGCTCTTGTTAAGGGAGTTTCTGATAATTTAGGAGTTTTTCTGAATTGGACAAAAACAAAAAACGGTATCCATGCCTCATTCTTGATTATCAAAAACAGCAGCAAGGCCCCGGGCAACAATTAGAATTTTGTCTTATTTGGTAACACCCTATTAAGATTTTTTTTTTCAGACGAAAAAGCACTGTGATATTCTGGCCAAAAGCTGTTAGGGCCATGATTTTTAAGTTTTGAAACTTTAAATAAAACATTGTTCCAGTGACTCAATTGGCTATATTTATTTATTAAGTTCACCAAGAACTGGAAGTTAATTCGACTTAATGACAATAGACTGGATTATTTTGTCTTGCACATCTGTTGTGTCTGAGTTTGGATTTCTGTTTGTTTACTTCAACATCAGGGGATTAAGTTACCTACATTTTGTTTTAATCGTATTAATCCTTAATATAGTTGTCTTTGATTTAAACTATGGAACGTTGTAGTGGAATTTGTTTTTATGTTTTTTTGAGTTTTTGATTGATTTAATTTTTGAAAAAGCATGTCATATAGATTTATTCAATTATTTTGTGTAACATGTCTGCAATAATATATATAACATTGTTTCTTCTACAAATAATAATAAAAGTAGTTTTACATTTCATCTGCTCACTGATTTTTCATTTCATTTCACCCAGTTGCAGGTCGTAACAGAATGGACACATGTCTGTGTATTCTAATCATGAAGTGTTGTTTCCTTTCCATTAAGATGCTTATATTCTAAACATAGAATTAAGAATTTAATCCATCGAATGTTTTAGAGGTTTTTTTGTGTAATCCCATCACGTTTGATTATTTTACAGGGTGAGGCGTTACGACAGAGTTTGTTGACAAGGTATTACGGCAGATCTCATCCAAGGAATCGCCGTGAGAGTTCGATTGGTACCAGCACTGGTAGAGGAATCGGTTCTGGTCCGGGTTCTGTGGTTTTAAGTCGAGCGGAGATGACTCTTCATGATGTACAGGTTGGTCTCTCTCTCTCTCTCTCCCTCTCTCTCTCACCCTCCCTCCATTGCTCTCTCTTTCTCTAACTGTGGGATACAGTGGCTCATTAAGTATGCCGCTGATTGCATGCTGCGGTGGTCCATCCAGGTTTGGCTGTGATTGTTCTCCTGGATTTTAGACTGTGCTTTTCCCTTGTTAAGTGGTACACAAATGAGGATCTAGCGATAACATCATCTAGTCGCTTGGTTGGGATGATCAAGAAAAATCACAATGTCCCAGTACACTTTTGCATGTATACGAAAGATCCCCTGGCCTTCAGAATTCAAAAAGAAGCAGCTATCCAGGCAAAATTTCTGTCATAGCACATGGTATCGTGTCAGACAATCGTCATTAGTCCGATTTTTAATTTCATATATTCAAATTTCGATTTTGATACTTTGCCAGGGGTAAACCTAATTGTTTTGTTTATTTTAGTGCCATTTGGATCGAGAAGGTGCATCAGACTTAGTGGTAGATTTAATCATTAGAAATACCAGCAATCGTATCTTTCTGGAAACAGTAGAACTTGGTATAGCACTGTTAGAGGGAGGTAACTCTGTAATACAGGTAAATGTTTACTACTGTTAGAGGGAGGTAACTCTGTAATACAGGTAAATGTTTACTGTTTAGTGAGGTAACTCTGTAATACAAGTAAATGTTTACTACTATTAGAGGGAAGTAATTCTGTAATACAGGTAAATGTTTACTACTGTTGGAGGGAGGTAACTCTGTAATACAGGTAAATGATTACTACTGTTAGAGGGAGGTAACTCTGTAATACAGGTATATGTTTACTACTGTTAGAGGGAGGTAACTCTGTAATACAGGTAAATGTTTACTGTTTAGTGAGGTAACTCTGTAATACAAGTAAATGTTTACTACTATTAGAGGGAAGTAATTCTGTAATACAGGTAAATGTTTACTACTGTTGGAGGGAGGTAACTCTGTAATACAGGTAAATGATTACTACTGTTAGAGGGAGGTAACTCTGTAATACAGGTAAATGTTTACTACTGTTAGAGGGAGGTAACTCTGTAATACAGGTAAATGTTTACTACTGTTAGGGTGAGGTAACTGTAGGTAACTGTCTTTTCTTATTGGTTAAATAAAGTTATTTTTTTCATCATCTATTTTCTAAGCTATTACAAAGACAACTGCCGGGTCTTTATCTAAATCTTACATATTTCGGGGAGCCACAGTGGCTAAGTGAGTAAGACACTGGCTCGCTGGCCTGGAGATCGCTTGTTTGATCCCTGTGTTGGACGAGAAAGTTCATTGTGATTTTCTGGTGTGGATTCCCCTTGTCAGTGGTGCATGACAGGGCCTGACAGCTGATACAAAATAAACCAACGTCCTGTGTACACATTGGTGTGCACGTAAAAGATCCCTTGACAGTTGGAATTCGATATAAGAGTAGGCCGTAGTGCCACTGTCCAGGCAAAATTTCCCTTATAGCACACTGTATGTTAGAACATGCGTGCTGTATCATAAAGCCTGTCATTGAGTCGACTAGCGTGGTTTCGAATCCCCGGTTGTATGTGACGAGGAGTAGGGTCACTTGTCCAACCTCGTGGGTTTTCTCTGGGTCCTCCAGTTTCCTCCCACTGCTAAAGACCCCTACGCGCAAGCGAATTATTGAAATAAAATTAAACCATATGTTAGTCCCGAAATGACCTTGTTTGTGTCGAGTGGACGTTAAACCCCATTTCTCTCTCTCTCTTCCCCTTTTATAATGTTTTCCAGTTTTTTTTGTTGTTTATTATTTCAGACATCTCTCTACAATCGTTTGTCACATGATAAAAGTTCTGAAACCTTTTATCGAACATTTTACGATCGTATGAAAGAAGCTGAGTTAGAGATAAAGAATACCATCACAGTTAACACAAGTGATACGTTAAGTAGTAAGAAATCCTCTGAGGAGACCCATGGTGGTAGTCATGGTAAAAATAATAGAAAAGGTAAAATGCTACTCAAACTTGTGAATGAGATACTCTTCGGCAATACTATATACCGGAAAACACAGGAAAACAACCGGAAAACAACCGGAAAACACCATTTTATACTGAATACCGGAAAACACCGGAAAACACACTAAATACCGGAAAACACACTAAATACCGGAAAATACACTAAATAGGTAACCCGGAGCCTGGCACCCTAAATAGGTAACCGGGAGCCTGGTCCTTTGTGTGCCTGGGTTAGGGTTAGGGTTAGTTTCCGGTTTTTAGTATAGCCCTTCTCCGGGTTACCTATTTAGGGTGGCTTCCGGTATGTAGTGTGTTTTCCGGTATTTAGTGTTTTTCCGGTGTTTTCCGTCATTTAGTATAACATGGTGTTTTCCGGTTCTTTTCTGATGTTTTTCGGTGTTTTCCGGTATATAGTATAGCCCATACGCTTTATTTTTTTTTTTTTTTTTTTCGAGTCTCATATTAATTAGATTGAATCCGAGTGGAGAGATTAGCTGCCGTTAATATTTAGAGAATGTTTTCTTACATGGGTTTTAAATACTTATTTTAGCGTGAATTGGACGGTGGAAAATTATATATTATAAGTAGGATACAAATACCATTATATTTTTGTCGATTGCATGACATATGGGCTTTTTTCAGGGAAATCAGTATTTTCTACTTTCATATAGACCAAATTTATTGCAAATATTTCCGTGGGAATAAAACTTTAAATGGAACTTTCAAAACTCTTCTGGACAAGTATGATTTAAAAAGCAAAACAAAAAAAATGCAGTATTCATTTCTCGGTTTGGTTCATGGTGCTTTAAATTCGGTAAACATGATACAGATTTTTTTAGCCGTCCGTTTTCTTACGATACTCGGCTACCATGCAGAGTTATGTCCCCCTGAAGAGATGGTTTCCGGCAATAAAACATTTGTGTCCTGCAACCACAAATCATGGATATGTGAAGATTTTGGATTAAAAACTCCAGATGGAAAACGTGTGGCTAATAATGTGACACATCGCCATTAGATATCATGTAGTTGTTTTTATTCCTAAAGTAAATTTGGAGGTTCATACCTTGATACGTACCGTATCGTATGGTGAGGTCCATATTGTATGGTGAGGTTCATACCTTGATACATATCGTATTGTGAGGTTTGTGTATCGTTGCAGTCCTACTTTCTGCTGTGTATGGTCCTCAACAAATTTATATCTGAAATATTGCCCCTTTAAAATTAGGTTTGCCCTTTAAAGTTAGGTTGTCCCTTTAATGTGAAGTTTTCCCTTTAAATTTAGGATCGATTGCAGTAATTTGGGGCTGCATTGGAGGGGTTGAATGTCAAATAGTTAAAACATGGGCATTGCATCATAAGGTCTGTCATTGAGTCAAGTGGCTTGGTTTCCATTCCCTGGTTGTACGTGACAAGGAGTTGTGTCGTCTGTCAAACCTCGTGGGTTTTGTCCAAGTCCTCTGTTTCCTCCCACTGCTTAAGACCTCTACACGCAAGCAAATTATTGATATGAAATTGGATCATATGTTAGTCCCAAAATGACCTAGTTTGTTTCAAGTGGACGTTAAACCCCATCTCTCTCTCTCTCTCTCTCTCTCTTTTTGAGCTGCAGTAATGTTGACTCAAGGCCAATATCAACACAGTATCATACAAGTATTTCAATTTCCATTTCAGCAGGAAATGGGATGATAACCGACGAATTGCGTGCCCAGTTTGACGAATCAACCAGCATTACGAGTCGAACCATGGGTCAGTTACGGCAAACACAGGGCCACATAGACGACGGAGAGGACGGACGAAATCATATAGTTCACGATGATGCCGCAGATCACAGACCAACACGAGAGAAAGAAGAAAAGAAGTTAACAGCACAGATATCCATGATGCAACCAATTTTACGATTTCTGCAACTTTTATGTGAAAACCACAACAGAGATTTACAGGTATGTACATGGCACATTAATAAAAAATCCATGACATGCCAAATACAAGTCGGGGGTTACAGTGGCTAAGTGGGTAAGTGGGTAAGACGCTGGCTCGCTAGCCTGGAGCTTGGGTGTTTGATCCCTGCATTGGCCAAGAAAGTTTATTCAGATTTTCCGGCGTTGTTCCCCCTTGTCAGTAATGCAGGACGAAGCGCCTGACAAGGACAGCTGTCTAGTCATTCGTATGGAATGAAAAACCGAAGTCCCTTGTACACATTGGCGTGCACGTAAAAGATCCCTTGACAGTTGGTATTTGATATAAGAGTAGGCTGTAGTGCCGCTGTGCGGGTAAAATTTCCCTCATAGCACACTGTATGACGTATGCCTGTCTTCATTAGCCCAGTTGGGAGCAGAAAAGTAGGATCATAAACCCCATTTCATTTCATTTCATTTCTAAATACAAGAAAGGTCAGCTGTTTAACTAAACTTTACAACTTACATAATGCATCTTTTTCTGTTCTTGAACTATTATAGTTCAACTCATTATCAAAAGTGAGCCACAGGGACTCAGTGAGTAAGATGTTGTTTTGCTAACCTGGAGATCTTGTGTTCAATCCCTCAGGAGTTTCCATCGTGGTCCCCCCTTGTCAGTGTTGCAGGGCCTGGAAAAATCACTTTTTTAGCATGTTCTCCGTCCATTCCTTGCAAAATGTGGGAGTATCTTGCATGGCAACTGCTTGTTTATTATTCTGTCCACACCATAGATCTATATTTCGTTTCGTTTTTTTTTTACTTTCAATGGCCTACACTACATGAAGATCTGACAAGTTGTAGAGATAGGTCACTGTAACAGATAGTTTCATTGGCTAATCCCTCGCGCCATCGAGAACGCAGGTTATTTAACAACACTTCCAGATCTTAGTGTAGTACAGACAAATAAAACAAAATTTAGAACTATAAAAACCAAAACCAAATAGGATCTGTGTTTTAATAAGATTGTCAACTGGCGTGGTTTCGATTCCCCGGTTGTACGTGACAAGGAGTAGGGTTCCCTGTCCAACCTCGTGGGTTTTCTCCGGGTCCTCCGGTTTCCTCCCACTGCTAAAGTACCCTACGCGCAAGCGATTTATTGAAATAAATTTTTAAAAAAAACAACCAAAAACAACATATGTTAGTCCCAAAATGACCTAGTTTGTCTCAAGTGGACATTAAACCCCATTTCTCTCCCTCTTTAATCTGTTCAATCCCTGCATTGGCCGAGAAAGTTCATCCAGATTTTCCGGCGTGGGTCTCCCTTGTCAGTGATGCAGGATGAAGCGCCTGACAAGGACAGCTGTCTAGTCGTTCGAATGGGACGAAAAACCGAGGTCCCGTGTACACTTTGGCGTGCACGTAAAAGATCCCTTTGCAGTTGGAATTCGATTTAAGAGTAGGCCGTAGTGCCGCTGTCCGGGCAAAATTTCCCTCATAGCACACTGTATGGCGTATGCCCGTCTTCATTAGCCCAGGTTAGGAGCAGAACAGTAGGACTTTAAACCCCATTTCATTTCATTTCATTTCCCTCTTTAATCAGTTTGACCAACGCTTAAACGTATATATATATATATTTTATACGTATATATATATTTTATACGTATATATATATTTTATATTTGTAGAACAACTTACGACAGCAGGATAATAAGACCAGCTACAATCTTGTGTGTGAAACTCTGCAGTTCTTAGATTGTATTTGTGGCAGTACAACTGGAGGACTTGGTCTACTAGGTCTTTATATCAATGTTAATAATGTAGGCTTGATTAATCAAGCCCTGACAAGTTTAACAGAATACTGTCAGGGACCCTGTCACATCAATCAGGTAATGTTCTGGACAATTTTCTTTTCTTTTTTTTTTTAGCCCAGGGAGCCACTGTGGCTCAGTGTGTAGTGCACTGAAACAGAAGGTCTGGTGTTTTGTGATCTTTCAGCGTGGTTCCCCCTTGTTAGTGGTGCAGGACGAAGGGCCTGTCAAGGAACAGCGTCTAGTTGTTTGGATAGTATGAAAGACACGTTGGCGTGGACATAAAACACCCTTTGGAAGGTGGAATAAGAAATAGTTTGGGGGAAACACTGTGATCTGCTCTGGTTCATCAACCAGATGGTCCGGGGTTCAATACAGGCATTGGCCAAGAAAGTTCTTAGAAATTTTCCAGCCAGTTATCCCATTGCCAGTGCTACAGGATGGTCTGTAAAACTGAGTGCAAACCGATGTATGTAAAAGTACCTGTGACGATTGGATTTCTATGAAGAATACGTGAAACACTGCCGCCCGGTAAAAATTTCCAGAAATTAAATGAAATTCGGTTAAATGCAGTGATTGGATTTCAAAAATTTTCTTGTCAGACATTTTTACCGAAAATAAAGTTACATAATTCTTATCGTTATTTAAGCAGGCAGTTTTTAGACCACACACAAAAATCATGTTTTAACAAAATATTCAAATTTGTACGTAATAAAAAAATTTGTGCACCTCGTTATTTTTCATATTTAATTCCCGTACGGTATTCAAATTTATGTCAGTAATATTCCTACAAAATTATGTGATGTCGTAATACGATAGAATGAAAGCGTGCCGACTACTGCCGATCCGTACTGTTTCAAATTCTTCCAAAGTTACCGTATTTTTCGGGTCATGAATCGATAAAATTTTCAGCAGAAATCTGGCATTCATCTTATACTCCGTTTCGACCTATATACGGAGGGTAAAAAAATTACGTCCCATCCCTGGTTTAATGTCCTATTGTTCTGCTCTGACTGGGCTATTGAAGACAGGCATAAGCCATGCTGTGTGGTAGGAGTGTAATTTTGCCTGGATAGCAAAACTACAGCCTACTGTTATTTCGAATTCCAACTGCCAAGGGGTCTTTTACGTACACGCCAATGTGTACACAGAACCTTAGGTTTTTCATCCCATCCGAACGACTAGACAGCTGTCCTTGTCCGGTCCACCGTCCTGCATCACTTACAAGGGAAAACCACGCTGCAAAATCCACGCTGAACTTTCGCGGCTAACCTCTGGAACGACCCCACGACCTCAAGACTATGACCGTCTTCATTATCCCAGTTGGGGCTGATCAATAGGACGACTAGACAGCTGTCCTTGTCCGGTCCACCGTCCTGCATCACTTACAAGGGAAAACCATGCTGCAAAATCCATGCTGAACTTTCGCGGCTAACCCCTGAAACGACCCCACGACCTCAAGACTATGACCGTCTTCATTATCCCAGTTGGGGCTGATCAATAGGACGACTAGACAGCTGTCCTTGTCCGGTCCACCGTCCTGCATCACTTACAAGGGAAAACCATGCTGCAAAATCCACGCTGAACTTTCGCGGCTAACCCCTGGGACGACCCCACGACCTCAAGACTATGACCGTCTTCATTATCCCAGTTGGGGCTGATCAATAGGACGACTAGACAGCTGTCCTTGTCCGGTCCACCGTCCTGCATCACTTACAAGGGAAAACCACGCTGCAAAATCCACGCTGAACTTTCGCGGCTAACCCCTGAAACGACCCCACGACCTCAAGACTATGACCGTCTTCATTATCCCAGTTGGGGCTGATCAATAGGACGTTAAACCCCAGTTCATCGGAATTTTCTGGCTTGGTTCCCCCTTGTCAGTAGTGCAGGGCAAAAGTCCTGACAAGGGACAATGGATAATCGTTTGAATGGGACGTAAAATCTGAGGTCCATTGTACACATAGGCATGCACTTAAAAGATCCTTTGACGGTTGGAATACGATATAAGAGTAGACCGTAGTCTTCATTAGCCCTGTTGATGCAGAACAGTAGTATGTTAGTATGTTAAAAGCCATTTCATTTCTTTCACTTTGATTGAATACATTCTTGGGGATTAATAATTTAATATGTTATTATGTATTACAGAATGCTATAGCTATGCATGAGAGTAATGGTATAGATATAATTATAGCATTGTTATTAAATGATATTAACCCATTGGGTAAACAACGAATGGATCTGGTACTAGAATTGAAGGTTAGTGTAGTTAAACATACATTATGGGAGATTAGATAAAGAGCTGGCAGTTCTCACTATAATGGTTAAAAACTAAATAATGTAAACGGAATTTGCTGAAAATTTCAGTCAGATTGATCCACTCTGAACCAAGAATTAAGTAAGTGAAATTTCGGCCTAGCCTCCATCATCATTTCTAAAATCAGTACGACAAAAAACAGTCTCGATTATCCATTTCATGATTAAAATCAAAGATGAAAGTTGAACAGCGAATTGGATCATAATCCAATAAATATCGCAAGCTAACATTGACATTGATTAATTATAAAATGTTGTTTGATTTATATAGAATAATGCCTCGAAGCTGTTATTAGCCATTATGGAAAGTCGACATGATAGTGAAAATGCAGAAAGAATCCTCTACAACATGAGTCCAAAACAATTAGTAAGTATTTTATTAGGAACCAGATTCGCTGTTCTTTAGGGTCTTAATAAATAAATGAATAGGAGCCACGGTGGCTAAGGGGGTGAGACGCTAGCCAGGAGGTTGCGTGTTCAATCCCTGCATTGGCCGAGAAAGTTCATCGGAATTTTTCGACTTGGTTTCCCCTTGTCAGTGGTGAAGGACCGAAGGTCTGGCAAGGACAGCTGTCTAGTCGTTTGGATGGGATGAAAAACCAAGGTCCTGTATGCACGTTACAGATCCCTTGGCAGTTGGGATTTGATATACGAGTAGGCCATAGTGCCGCTGCCCGGGCAAAATTTCCCTCATAGCATACTGTATGTTAGTCCTAAAATGGCCTATTTTGTGTCAAGTGGATGTCCCGAAATGACATCAGTGCTCTCTCTCTCTCTCTCTCTCTCTCTCTGTACAGAAGACTTGTGCACATTTTACCATGACAACTAGATCTATGACTGCCCACACACTTAAAGCTCAATACAAAGGTTATTAATATTCATGTTTCAGCTCTTAGCCAATGAAAAGACTGCTCTCTTAAAATATTTGAGTTCCAAGTTGTTATGAATAAAGATCCAGTAATCATATGATGATATTGTTTCAGGTGGACTCAATTAAACGAGTTTTTAAACAAGAAATATTAGAGGGCGATATATTCTACTCTTTAAAGGTTTTTATTTCCTGGTTGGCCTGTAGATGTTTTGTTTTTGTCTTGATTTTAATAATGAATGTGTGTTTATAATACAGTGGACTTCTGTCACTTCCAACATCTGAATACTACGGCATTCTGTGAAATCTGTCATTATTTTCATGTCCCAATTTATTTCCTTATTACTTCAACCAAAAAAGTTTTGAATAGTCCGTATTCTCAATATTCTGAATTATGTCATTAATCATTGGTCCCATCACACGATTTGCATTGAATTAACATTGGATAATCCGGCCTTCAATCAGTAGGTGTTAACCGACAAGCAATCACCAATCAATTATCTGTGAGCATAAAACATGTGTCGGTCTTTGTTGATTAGCTCTATAATTTAATAATCTCTTGTAAAGAGAGAGCGCTTGGTATTTGATTTGAGTTTCTCACGTCAAATACACACTCGGCAAACCTTAGCAGATTCCAGTTCTCTACGTCTAATACTTTCGGCATTGCGACAATTGAGTATTCCGACATGCTATCTAATCCAACATATTGTATCAATCCCCTATGATGTCGGAATTGACAGCGTCCACTGTAATAGGTTAGGGCTGTGTATTGCAGCTGAAAATTTGTTTTGAAATATACTGCCATACAGCTAAGCGTAAGCGTATTGCAATATATTTCAAAGAAAAAAATACTGATGTGTGGACATATTCATGTTTTTGAATCAGGAACTGGCTGCATTTACTTAGTACTCTTGGTCTGGGGTTGATGCTTATCATCAAGTACTATCGACAGGACACTTAGCATGTTTGTCCTTTGGACAATTGTGCATTGATTTACAGATTTTAATTTTTCATATGACATCACAATTCCGAGAAGGCTGTCATCGACAGATCCTAGCTCATAAAGAACACTGTTTGTTATAAGGATAAGTAGAACCCACACTGATCTGAATACACTGATACACTAACTGATCGAAACATTTGCTTTAGGTCATGAAAAAAACAAAATTCTGGTTTTCGGATACTCCTGCATCATTTAAAAAGGGATTCATGAACCATTTTTATTAAAAATTATAAAAAAATAAGAAAGAATCTCAATAATAACCGCATATTCATATTTCCACTGATTAATTAAAGGACCTTATAAAAATGTACTGTAGGCTCAATTATTAAGTACCCAACCCTGATAAATGTTATTAACAATCATAAATGATACTGGATAATCAAACATTACTATAAACAATTCAACATGATGAGATAAATAATACTGGATAATCATATATTCCTATAAACAACATGATGAGATAAATGATACTGAATAATCATATAAACAACATGATGAGATAAATGATACTGGATAATCATACATTACTATAAACCACATGAGATAAATGATACTGGATTATCATACATTACTATAAACCGCATGAGATAAATGATACTGGATAATCATACATTACTATAAACCACAGGAGATAAATGATACTGGATAATCATACATTACTATAAACAACATAAGATAAATGATACTGGATAATCATATAAACAACATGATGAGATAAATGATACTGGATAATCATACATTACTATAAACAACATAAGATAAATGATACTGGATAATCATACATTTCTATAAACAACCTAATAAGATAAATGTAGAGTCTTGAAATATGATGGTTGTCAAAAGTAAATTAGCAATGTTGTCCTTTAATAAAAGCACCAAAATAAAAACATCCCTCCTGTTCCATGCTGCAATATACTTTATAGATGATGTTTTAAAAAAACTCATCAATTATAACTGGTACATTTGTAAGTTTCGGTACAATTTTAACGCTGTCATTGGTTAATGTATATTGTAACCTTAAAACATGGCAAATTTTTCCTGTGTCAAGTTTGAAACCTTGTTGAAAATCATTCGTCTTCCCCTTTAAATGAGTGGCAATGAAATTGACCGGATGGAGAACCAACTTGTCACTCAATTTAAATGATGTAAAATTAGAATTTCAAGTTTTTTATGTGTGGGACACTTAGAGATGCATTATGTAAGAGCTAAATCTGCCTATTACAGGTTTTTATTTTGGCTTCAAATGTTATATAAGTTATTATTTAGACATTTATTCACATGACAAGCCTATAATCTACTCTCTAGAACATTGGATGGCACAGATGTAATGATTTAATTTAAAAATGGAAAAGTGATGCGATGTCTAGATTAACCAGTGACGTTCCTATGATAATAAACAATGAAAACTTCAAACAGTGATAACTTTGATCCGAGTAAAGTAATTTGAATGAAATTTTCAATATGTTAATTTTGAATTATCTATTTTGGAACTATTATAACAAGAACATTATAATGTTACATAATGCATCTTTAAAAATATATTTCAATCCCCGGTTGTACGTGACAAGGAGTAGGGTCGCCTGTCCAACCTCGTGGGTTTTCTCCGGGTCCTCCGGTTTCCTCCCACTGCTAAAGACCCCTACGCGCAAGCGAATTATTGAAATAAAATTAAACCATATGTTAGCCCCAAAATGACCTGGTTTGTGTCGAGTGGAAGTTAAACCCCATCTCTCTGATATTGAATACCACCAGACTAGTTTGGATGGAGGTATTCAAAAATTCAATCGGTTAATTTAAAGCCTGAACATGCCAGAATAAAGGTTAAATAAAGGCTTTAAGACAATCTTCCAACGTGGTTTCCCCTTGTCAGTGATGCAGGAAGGAGGGCCTGACAAGGACAGCTATCTAGTCATTTGGATGCGAAGAAACCCAAGGTCCTATGTACACATTGGCATGCACGTGAAAGATCCCTTTCCAGTGGAATTTGATGTAAAAGTAGGCCATAGTGCCACTGTCAGGGCAAAATTTCCCTTCATAGCACACTGTATGGCATATGCCCGTCTTCGTTAGCCCGGTCGGAGCAGAACAGTCGGACGTTTAACCCCATTTCATTTCATTTGTTTTTGATATACTAGTTAAGACAATCAAATGTAAAGGGCCCTGTTTTACAAAATTTTAACTAGATAAAATCCAAATTTTAGTAGATACTTAAATTTTGATTGGCTAAGCACTAAAATCAATCTAATATTATCCAATCAAATTACTAAAATGTGGATTTTATCTTAGTTAAAATTTGGTGAAATAGGTCCCTGGTATTTTAATAAATAAAAAAAAAAATTCAGTCCAAAAATTACTTTTATCATTCAATTTGAACTTTGGATTGGTTTTTATTTAATTTATTCCACCTTCTTTGTCCTTCATCTCATTCTGCATGACGGTCTTTTTCTACTGGGATGTACTTGTTAACATAATAACAACAGTCTTCATGTTAAAATAATGCATATTTTTGACTTTTCAAGCATATTTGAATGATTTAGTTTGTTGTGCCATTAACAATCGTTGGTTCACTATTATAAAATGTTAATCCACTCAGTTCCTCTTGATTTTCCGGTATGTTTCCTCCTGGACCGAGGTGTAGGATGGAGCGCCTGACAAAAGACAACGTATTGTCGTTCAGATGGAACGAAATTCCTGTGTACACATTGGCATGCACATAAAAGAACCCTTGACAATTGGAATTTGAAATAGGAGTAAGCCATAGTGCCAGTGTCTGAGCAATATTTTCATCGTATCACACTGTATGACGTAAGCCCATCTTCATTCACCCAGTGGGTGCAGAAAAGTAGGACGTTAAACCCCATTTCATTTAATCCATTCTAAAGTGTACTAAAATTGTCCAACCTCGTGGGTTTTCTCCGGGTCCTCCGGGTTTCCTCCAACTGCTAAAAACCCCTACGCGCAAGCGAATTATTGAAATAAAATTGAACCATATGTTAGTCCCAAAATGACCTAGTTTGTGTCGACGTTAAACCCCATTTCTCTTTTTCTCTCTCTACTAAAATTGATTATTTATCGTTTAATCCTGTTAATATTGACTACCCAAAGTTCCTTAAAAAGAAATTAGAACAAAGTGATATTTTGATAGCGGTACACACCTGGAAAGACTGACACAATTTGAAATTTTTCTTCCTTAAACCGCCTCAATTCGCCTTTGATATCTGAATAGTGCTCCGTATCATCGGACCATTTTGCATGCCACACAGCTGTGCTCATGACAGGGCTATATTGGGCATTCTGAGGAGCGCTAGTCTGGGTTGTTCCGTGTAGTGTAAGTACTAAAGTATTAATTAAGAAAACGGAAACAAAATATCAACTATATATTATCTCTCAGCTTTGATTCAATTGGATTAGAAATAGGATCATCAAAAGATTTTACACGACATTTACAGATGGCTCTGGCTTGTATATATCATCTACAGGGGAAGAAGAACGTTGGGAAATATTCAATTCATCATGTCTTCGTAAATACTAAACCAGTCGTTGTTTCTTGTATTTCAGTGGAGAACCAAAAAAAGCTCCCCTCGATCAACAAAAAAGCTCTCCCAGTTTCAATAAGAATGATTTAGAAATTAAGGAGAGTGATCTGATATTAAGGAGAGTGATTAGTTGTGTGTATAGGAAATGGTTCTGAAGATCAATAACTACATGTAATAGGGTCATTTGTGGTTTCATAAATGATAATAAACCCCCCCCCAAAGACTTTGTAAAAAAACTCCCGTTGGTTGACTTTCAGGTGAGCAGCAGGCGCTCGAGAGCGATCGCTCGCCTTAAAAAACAATGACTGCTAAACGGAATTAAACCACTCCTGGACGGATATGTCTTTTAGAGATTCGTTATTGTAATTAAACAATTCCTGGAGGGATATGTCTTTTAGAGATTCGTTAATGTCTTTTAGAGATTCGTTATTGTAATTAAACCACTCCTGGACGGATATGTCTTGTAGAGATTTGTTATTGTAATTAAACAATTCCTGGAGGGATATGTCTTTTAGAGATTTGTTATTGTCTTTTAGAGATTTGTTATTGTCTTTTAGAGATTCGTTATTGTAATTAAACCACCCATGGACTGATATGTCTTTTAGAGATTCGTTATTGTAATTTGAAAGAGATTCATAATGCACACAAATGATGGTCGGTGGCTTTAAGCCAAAAACTAATATTCTCGAAATCTTAACTAAAGATAAAATCCAAATTTTAGTAGATACTTCAATTTTGATTGGCTAAGCACTAATATTATCCAATCAAATTACTAAAATTTGGATTTTATCTTAGTTAAAAGTTATAATCCTTGAGTGGCATTTAGCGATTGAACACATTAAAAACACAACACAGTTTATATGGAAATACAATCACTGGTTTATAAGTATAGCACGACAATTCGACAAGTATTCTCTTATCGTTATCAAGCACAAATGATATTTAGTTAAACTAAAAGGTGATATTTATAGTAAAACAAAAAAGAAGCCATAGATAAAAGTTTGTGAAACGGGCACCTGTTTATTAATCTGTCTTCATTAGCCCAGTAGGTGCAGAAAAGTAGAATGTTAAATTTGATTTCTATTCTGTTCTATTTAACAAAGGTTGGTGTAGCAAAGTCAAAAATTGATATTCTTTATATATAAGTTCTATTCATTAGCCCACTCGGTGCAGAAAAGTCAGACATTAAAGGGACAATAACACTTGCTGGCTTGACAGGTCCAAAAAATAAAATATAGCCTTATTCTAAGTACTAGATGTGTTAGTGTCTTACCTGTTGTGTAAATTATCCATTAAATCCTATTTTACTTGTCCAGGGGGTTCAAAATTTTTTTTAAATCCAAGTCACATTTGAAAAGCTTTACGTCAGGCTTTTCAAATCATTTAGTTGAATTTTTCCAATTTTTAAAATTAGGTGTGTTAAGATGAGATTTGTATCATCAATTAATTGGAATATTGTAAAATAGTGCAATTTGTTGACCAGAATAAAGATTGGGACATATTATTCAGTTACAACAAGAGTGGTATTGAGCCTTTAAACCCCATTTCATATCACTTCTATACATCTATCGTGTAATACAGGTTGATGTAGCGAAGCAAGCATTCCATTCTGAAGATGCCGTGGAAGATGACGAAGAAGATGATGAAGAGCGAGAAGCATCCCCGAAAGCTGTTGGTCACAATATATTTATCCTGGCTCATCAACTTTCTCAACATAATAAAGAACTTTCGGAACTTCTAAAACCAAGTGGAACGGACTTGTATGGAGACCAAGCTTTAGAATTTTATGCCAAACACACGGCACAGATTGAAGTGAGTGGTAGAAATTTGTTATGGTTTCTATAACCCATTTCAAACACAGACCCCCTCCTCAACAACAACTGCCCTCCCCCCGGGGGCGTGGTGACCCATGAGAAACAAGATCCTGTCCCGGTCCCCCGCTCCAATAAAAAAACAAAACAACAATATTTATATGTGCGTGCCGGGGAGGGCTGGGATGGCAGTCCCTCCCAGTACTGTGTTGGACTGTGTTGAACATGCTAGAGTTGATTTTAGCATATCTGACCCACAGTATATGTGTATATGTTTGAAACTGGTTAAGCATTATGATTATAATGTTGAAAACTACTTTCAGACCGCTTGATGTTTTGACATGTGTGAGGGGGCGCAAAAACTCAATGGCGTGCAAAAACTCAAGGGCGTACAAAAACTCTAAACCATGACGCATAGCTCATCATTGCATCCCCCTCATTCTTACCACATCCCTTGGACCAGTAATGAAAGTGGATATATCTTGTCAAATTTGTATGATTGGATATATGTTGTCAAGTTTGTATGGTAGGTGAATATTTTGTCAAGTTTAATTTGTATGGTTGGATATATTGTTATAGATTGCCCGTATGGATCGCACGATGGAGAGAATTGTCTTCCCTATTCCTGAAATCTGTGAATATGTAACAGAGGAGACGATGGTCAAAGTTTACCAATCAGCAGAAAGAGATGAACAAGGGAGTAAGGTGGCTGATTTCTTTGATCGTCATGAAGATATACTTAGAGAGATGCAGTGGCAGAAAAAATTACGAGGTTAGTTTTTTTGGATCTGGCAAGGGAAAATGTATAGTCGTTCGGATGGGATGAAAAAACAAAGTGCTATGTACTCATTAGTGTACATGTAAAAGAAGCCATAACCCTTTTATTGTGTCTACCCGGTAGTACCGGGTATTATAAAATGTCGTTAAAATATGCGTACCCGGTATTACCGTGTACTCAGTAAAGCCCTCGCTAAAATTAGTACCGTAACTGCAATTACCATCTATTGTTTTTTCTATACACTAGAACACATTTCCATGTGTTTCAAAGCGGCAAACTGTAAAATGGCGGAGTGCATAGTGACAACGTAGACGATGCACACTCGACGAAGTCGTGAATGACGTCGTGCAGACCAACACGTGGACAATTTCGAGGCGGGTGATACACATAATTCGTTTCCAGTTACTTGATAATGATAGTAGTGAGGACAGTGATTGGTATTATGAAGTGATTTGTTGCGCGACATTCCGCCTATGGCTGTGTCTCACGTGCATGATGAACAAGCCCAATGTGAACACGATAGCCCTGTGTCTGCAGTAGATTCTGACAATAATTCTGATGTTGATAATAATGCTGACCTGCTGGATCGTAAAGGACGTAGGCAATTTCTGAGTCCCGAACGTGTAGATCTATTGACTGACTATATTGATAATAATGTGATACTTGGGGATGAAAGTGAAAGTGAAAACAAGGTATTGCAATCCGCATGTGGTCATGGCAGCGGGAGACGTGATGCGCGTGTTCGTGGTGGCATTGCTCGTGGCTGCTATTGATATTTTTGTTCACTTTATATATCTTTTATCAGAATCCAGTGAAAAAAACAATATCTCATAAGTATTTCATGGAGAAAAATTCGTTTTCGTGTTAGCTTTAATGAGAAATGAGAAATCCAAAATGGCCACCATGACGTCACGTGACTACATTATTATGCAAATTTCCAAAATTTTATTTTTTCCTCTTAGCCCAACCTCATGCCCATCCCAACAGACAAAAAGATTTTTCATAAAAGTTTCCATAAGTACTGTTTGGCATTCAGTTCCAACTCCCCTTTTTTCCTCAAAAAAGGGTCTAGCACAGGCAGTGGATTTACGTCTAGCATTGAAAGGGTTAACAAATGGATTTTGAGATGAGAGTAGGCCTGTCCAAATTTCCCTATAGCACACTGTAATTACCCGAGGTGGTTCAGAACAGTAGGACGTTAAACCTCATTTCATTTCCATTTATCTATGGCATGTCATTTTTCTGGCTTCAAATGTTCTATACTTAGACATCTATTTATGTAGCCAGCCTCTGTTGGTCAAGATATTGAGCTTGACAATCAAGACTAAATCTTGTCAAATGGTCAAGCAGTCACTCATAATAATTTTATTTGACTGAAATTTTCAATATATTCGTTTATCATTATCTATTTAACGTCTATTATAGCAAGAACATTTTTAAATTGAACTGCTCTTTGTTTTAATGGTATATTTGACGTCCGTCCATGTTTTATTAACCCCTTAACTGCCACTCACCGTGTGTAGGACGTAATATAACGTCCTGGAGGTATTTTCCCAACCTATTCTTCGAACATAATCTCACCATGTGTAAGACGTATTATTACGCCTGGTCGAGGAAATCTAATCGAAGGGAGACAACTCTATTTACTGTTAGTTTTAAATTTGTATTCAGGAAAAAATAGGCCCAAATATGACGTTTTTCGTCAAATTAATTACGCAATAAGGGGTAGTTAACGTCAAATTAATTACACAGTTAAGGGATTAAGACATGTTAGAAATTGAAAACTGTGGTGAAAAATACCTTACTTATATGCTAATTTCCTGACCCCTATAAAAAAAATAATCATTATATATCAATAATCAATTGAGTTGTTTTGTTTTACTTTAATGGGACAGAAATGTAAATAGTTGTACTTTTTATTTTCAGCAAATCCGTTGTTATTTTGGTTCAGTAGTCACATGTTACTATGGGGTAGCATGTCCTTTAATTTTACTGTGATAATTAATCTATTAGTGGCCTTGTTTTATCCGTTTGATGATTCAAAAAAAGGTGAGTTAGATAATTACAACTGTAATCTGGGTATCATTTAATCTTGTGGATCTAGCACTAATTTCTTTCACATTCGTTTAAAATCAAATCTTTGTTTAAAGATTCGTAAAAATCATTTAAATTCACCCAAAATCATCTAATTTGTACTTTTGTCCAGTTTAAAGCTGACTGATTAATTTTGATAATGAGTGTCCAATTTACAAGTATTTCATTTCCTGACCATTGTTCAAAAATTAATCATTATACATCAATAATCAATTGGGTTGTTTATTTTTTAACAGTGATCGAGAAATTAAACGCCTGTGAATTGGACACTCATTTTCAAAATTGAATGGTCAGTGACAAGTCTTTCTGGTTCGCCTCGACCACTTAAAGTTGGACAGGGTAGTTGAGGGTTGAGTAGTCTTAATATGTTGACTTTAAATCATAAAGTCTGTCATTGAGCCAAGTGGCATTGCTTCGATCCCAGGCTTTACAAGGAATAAGGTCGCCTGTCTAACCTCCGGCTGCACAAGCGAATTATTGAAATAAAATTGAACCATATGTTAGTCCCACAATGACCTTATTAATACATGAAGAAGCACTATTTTTTTTTGTTTTTATTTCAAGAATTGGATCCTCGACTTTCAACGTTAGTGTGGACGGCCATGTTGGTTTCCTTGGCAATAGTGATAACGTTACCAAGTCCTGGTGTAATCCGAGTGCTGATATTGTCAACTATTTTACGTTTGATATTTTCGGTTGGTCTTGAACCCACTTTGTGGCTTCTTGGCGTATTAAATGTAAGTTATGTAGATTAATTTAAAGCCATAAACGTTTGATATTTTTGATGAGCTTGAACTGACCTTGAGATTTATTAGATATAAGTTACGTAGTTAAGGATGTTACTAAATAACAGATTTGTTACATTAGATTTCTGGTGCGCCATTTTAAGCAATAGGAATAATTTGTGAACTACAAATATTACATCAACATGTTGATCTATGCTGGCTGCTCAAGTGTAACAAGATGCTGCCATCTTTTATAAGAGGGTGGTTGGATTGCCGAATGGTTAGCGCGTGTGTGCTGTATCATAAGGCCTGTCATTAAGTCAACTATCATGGTTTTGAATCATCACTTGTATGTGACAAGGAGTAGGGTCGCCTGTCCAACCTCATGGGTTTTCTCCGGGTCCTCCGGTTTCCTCCCACTGCTAAAGACACCTACGTGCAAGCAAATTATTGACATAAAAGTAAACCATATGTTAGTCCCGAAATGACCTAGTCTGTGTCGAGTGGACGTTAAACACCATTTCCCTTTAATGGTTTGAATGTATAAATCTGTCATTTATTCTAGAATATTGAGCCTTGTAGTATCCGTAGAGATTTGTACGTTATCAAAATATTTTAGGTTTCAACCATTTCCCTTTAATGGTTTGAATGTATAAATCTGTCATTTATTCTAGAATATTGAGCCTTGTAGTATCCGTAGAGATTTGTACGTTATCAAAATATTTTAGGTTTCAACTTATATTTTACTTTTAATTTTGAACATTTGTAATATTTTTTTTTTTTTTTTGAACATTTGTGATTTTTTTTTTGAACATTTGTGATTTTTTTTTTGAACAGTTGTGATCTTTTTATTTCATGCATTCATGATATTACCATTTGATTATCGTAAAGCACCTTTCAGTACTGTCTGTGAAAATGGCACATTATAAAAATTCTTAATAATGATACTGTAATAGAGATCTGGAGATTTTTTCAATATTTTAGGTTATCAACAAGGCGATATTTTTAACAAGTTTGATGGGTAATCGTGGTACATTCACGAAACCAATTCGACACATCATCACCGACTTTGAGTTCATGTATGATAGTTTGTATTTAACGTTGTGTATGCTGGGATTATGTGTTCATGAATTCTTCTACAGTTTACTGGTACGTTATTTTATATTTGGTTTGAATTTGGAAGCTGGGATGACTCCGTCTGTGAGGGGAGGTCCGAGACTAAGTGGGTAAGATGCTGGCTCGCTAGCCTTGAGGTCCGGTGTTCGATTCCTGCATTGGCCCAGAAAGTTCATCCAGTGATGCAGGACGGAGGGCCTGACAAGGACAGCTGTCTAGTCGTTCGGATGGGATTTAAAAAACCGAGGTCCCGTGTACACATTGGCATGCACGTAAAAGATCCCTTGACGGTTGGAATTCGATATAAGAGTAGGCCGTAGTGCCGCTGTCAGGGCAAAATTTCCCTCATAGCACACTGTATGGCGTATGCCCGTCTTCATTAGCCCAGTTCGGAGCAGAACAGTAGGACGTTAAACCCCATTTCTCTTTTTCTCTCTCTACTAAAATTTATTATTTATCGTTGAACGCTGTAAATATAGACTACCCAAAGTTCCTTTAAGAAAATAAGAGAAAAGTGATATTTTAATAGCGCTACACTCCTGGAAAGACCGACACAATTTGAAATTTTGGTTCCTTAAACCGCCTCGAATAGCCTTTGATATGTGAATAGCGCTTCGTATCATCAGACCATTTTGCGTTCGCGCTGATTCACTAACCAGGAGATCTTGGGTTTGATCCCAGGGAGGATGGATAGCAGAATGGTTAGTGCATGCGCGCTGTATCATAAGGTCTGTCATTGAGTCAACTGGCTTAGTTTCGATTCCCCGGTTGTACGTGACAAGGAATAAGGTTGCCTGTCTAGCCTTGTGGGTTTTCTCCGGGTCCTGCGGTTTCCTCCCACTGCTAAAAAACCCTAAGCGCTAGCGAATTATTGAAATAAAACTGAACCATGTGTTAGTCCCGAAATGACCTAGTTTGTGTCGAATCGACGTTAAACCCCATCTCTCTCCGTCTTTGGGTTTGATCCCAGTGTTGGCCACAAAAGTTCTCCAGTATTTTCCAGGGTGATTTACCCTTGTCAGTGGTGCATGACAGAGGGCCTGGCAAGGAAAGCATCTAGTTGTATGGGTAGGGCAAAACATGTTGTACACGTTAACGTTAAATCTTTGACAGATGGAATTAGTTTGCTGTCCAGGAGAATATACATACTTTCTAATCTTAAATCATTCATGTATCAATTGTAATCATGAATCAAATGTAATTTGGAAACTTGAATCATTTGGAATCTTGAATCATTCATATATCATTTGTAATCTTTAATCATTTGGAATCTTGAATCATTCATTTCTCATTTGGAATCTTGAATCATTTGGAATCTTGAATCATTCAAATATTTGTAATCTTGAATCGTAATCTTGAATCATTTGGAATCTTGAATCCTTCGTCTATCATTTGGAATCTCGAATCATATGGAATCTTAAATCATTTGAAATCTTGAATCATTTGTAATCTTGAATCCTTCGTCTATCATTTGGAATCTCGAATCATATGGAATCTTGAATCATAACCTTGAATCGATTATAATCATGAATTTTGCATCCCATGAATCTTGTTGGGTTTTTTTTCAGCTATTGGATGTCGTGTATCGAGAAGAAACATTGGTTAATGTAATTCGTTCTGTGACGAGAAATGGCCGATCTATCATCATGACAGCTGTTCTGGCTGTTATTCTAATCTATCTCTTCTCAATCATAGGCTTCATCTTCTTCCAAGATGACTTTCTCATGGAGGTGGAATCTCTTGACATTCAACAAATTGCAAGTTAGTATTATATATTAGCATTTTGAATCAGGGAGTGAGTAAAGCGCTGAGGGTCCAGGGTTCGATTCCTGTGTTGGTCGAGAAAATTCCCCAGAGATGGCTCAACGAGTAAAGGGTCCAGAGTTTGATCCCTGTGTTGGTCGAGAAAATTCCCTAGAGATTGCTCAACGAGTAAAGCGCTGAGCTTCCAGGGTTCAATCCCTGTGTCAGTCGAGAAAATTCCCCAGAATTTTCCAGAGTGATTTTCCCCCTTGTTAGTGGGTGCATGATAGAAGGAAATGGCAAGGAGCGTGTCTGGTCGTTCGGATGGGATGTAAAACAGAGGTCCTGTATTCCGTGGCCCTGTACATAAAAGACAGTTGGAATTAAATGTTATAGTTTACTGTAGCGCTACTAAAATGTTCATTATATTCATTTTTCGGAGGGTTGGATGGCTGAATGGTTAGCACGTGTGCGCTGTATGTTAAAGCCTATCATTGAGTCAACTGGCGTGGTTTCGAATCCCCGGTTGTACGTGACAAGGAGTAGGGTGGCCTGTCCATCCTCGTGGGTTTCCTCCCACTGCTAAAGACACCTACGTGCAAGCGAATTAATGAAATAAAATTAACCATATGTTAGTCCCGAAATGACCTAGTTTGTGTCGAGTTGACGTTAAACCCCATTTCTCTCTCTCTCTTAATTGCCTTTGATCTACTATAGAAGTGGTTGTCAACCTTTTTTTGGCCAGCCGCACAACTTGGAACACATGAAAAAAAATAGTGGCACGTCTGGCTAAATAATATATGAAAAATATTTAAATTTTGCAAAATAAAAACATGGCAAATCATAGACGGCATACAACCGTAGCCAGAGACTAGTCATAGACATTTAGAATGACTCAAACTAAATAAAGAAAAAGACAGCTATGAACTTATCAGTAGACACCAGTGAATACTCAATTGGGATCAAGTGGCTTTTCCCATTTTATCGCAGCAGGCACACTTAAGAAGATCTGGTAGCACACCTGTGTGTGACATGTCATGGCACACTGATTGAGAATCACTGTATTATAGCCAGAACATCTAGCTTTTATTTGAAGGGAGAGAGAGAGAGAAATGGGGTTTAATGTCCACTCAACACAAACTAGGTCATTTCAGGACTAACACATGGTTCAATTTTATTTCAATAATTCGCTTGTGCGTAGAGGTCTTTAGCAGTGGAAGGTAACCGGAGGACCATTAGAAAACCCTGGAGGTTGGACAGGCGACCCTACTCCTTGTCACGTACAACCGGGGATTCGATACCACACCAGTCGACTCTATGACAGACTTTATGATACAGCGCGCGGATGCTAACCATTCAGCCATCCAACCCCCCTTATTTAAAGGGACTATCCCGATTTGAAAAGAGTCTTAAAAAAAAAGTCTGAGTTCGTATGAAATTTAAGCGCCAAAATATAGAGGAGTGGTGTATTTACCTTGTCTCAAAAATTCAGCTCAAAATATTGAGTTGTTTAGACGTGAACGTCAAAAATGCTTATCTGGACACGTAACCCTTTTAAGATTTCTGGTCAATTTTTTTGTTGGATGACCTGATAATCTATCGCCGTTCCTTTAGAGGTCTATACAGTGAATGACCCATACTGGATAACGAAAGGTAAATTTCACCTACACATTGTTTTTATAAAATAAAAGTCTGGTTTTATCCAGACACCGCATAATACAGCTTGGGACACCGATCTCCATTCCCAGATGAAAACTGACGGGTGTAAGAAGACTTTTTTTGAATGTTCCTTGATAAATATAGATGTTGATCAGTTTGGTTACAGATTGTATTATATGTATAAATTATCACATTTTTCAGATGATACAACAGGGTCGTGTCCAACTGATGGTAATTGTTCAAACACACAGTCTATAGTCAGTCAATTTCTTCACATGGAACAAGGTAAGTTTATTATTGTATAGGGTATAGACTTTTTATTATGACTGTTTATTATTGTAGAGATGGTTTATTATTATAGAGACTGTTTATTATTGTAGAGACTGTTTATTGTTGTAGAGACCGTTTATTGTAGAGACTGATTATTATTGTAGAGACTGTTTATTATTGTAGAGACTGTTTATTGTTGTAGAGACCGTTTATTGTAGAGACTGTTTATTATTGTAGAGACTGTTTATTGTTGTAGAGACCGTTTATTGTAGAGACTGTTTATTATTGTAGAGATGGTTTATTATTATTGTAGAGACTGTTTATTGTTGTAGAGACCGTTTATTGTAGAGACTGTTTATTATTGTAGAGACTGTTTATTATTGTAGAGACTGTTTATTATTGTAGAGAACGTTTATTGTAGAGACTGTTTATTATTGTAGAGACCGTTTATTGTAGAGACTGTTTATTATTATAGAGATAGAGACTGTTTATTATTATAGAGATTATTTATTATTTTAGAAACTGGAATCGCACAACCAGATGAAGAAGATAAACAAAGAGCTTGTGATTCTCTTATCATGTGTATTTTAACATCATTAAATCAAGGTTTACGTAATGGAGGAGGTATCGGTGATGTCTTACGTAAACCAAGCAGCAAGGTATGGACAACTGTTATAAATAGAATTGTATGTAATTTAATGTCGCTGATTGCCATTCGAAGGATTTTGAACCCTTGAAAATATCATATTGTGAAATACACCACAGGAGTGTATGTGCAGGTAAAATCAAGGCTTCAGCAGGCATTGCATTTTTTATATTGTCTGATGGTGTATGCATATTATACGAATAGAAGTCAACTGGTGTGGTTTCCCGATTGTACGTGACAATATGTAGAGTCGCCTGTCCAACCTCGTGGGTTTTCTCCTGTTTCCTCCCACTGCTAAAGACCCCTATGCGCAAGCGAATTATTGAAATAAAATTAAACCATATGTTAGTTCTGAAATGACCTAGTCTGTGTCAAGTGGACATTAAACCCATTTCTCTCTCTCTCTCTCTCTCTCTCTCTCTCTCCTCTGTATCTCCAGTTCAATTACTAAATGCCATTGGAAAGATATTGTGAAAGCTGAATCTCTAAAATCAGTTAATGTTAAAGCCCAAACATATCAGAATGTGGGGGGTTGGATGGCTGAATGGTTAGCGTGCGCGCGCTGTATCATAAAGTCTGTCATTGAGTCGACTGGCGTGGTTTCAGTTCCCTTGTTGTTTGTGACAAGGAGTAGGGTGGCCTGTCAAACCTTGTGGGTTTTCTCCGGGTCCTCCGGTTTCCTCCCACTGCTAAAGACCCCTACGCGCAAGCGAATTATGTAAATAAAATTAAAACCATATGTTAGTCCCGAAATAACCTAGTTTGTGTCGAGTGGACGTTAAATCCCATTTCTCTCTCTCATATCAGAATGTAAGTATATATTTATAATGCGCTTTATCCACAATGGTGAGCTCAAACAGATACAAGACTTAATTAATTATGAATGCTTGAGTACAAAGATTTTGTTCTTAATTTACATAATAGTAAGTGCAGGAGGATAGCACCACACACAAACAATTACACAAGACAAACCTACGGAAAAGATACACAACACAATGTACTCAGAGATTTAAGAAAACAAATACATATTTCAAATCAAGTGAATGGATCCGGGAGCTAGCTGTAAACTTCCATAGCTGTATATAGTCCAGGCTTTGTACAGGCTTCACCCAAAATGAACACAAACTAACCATAAGGGAAACAATAGCTGCTTTACCTTAAGGGTTGGAAGGCTGCACCTTTGGGCCTCAGGTCAAGGTGTATAATATTTTTTACACTGTCATAAGCCTTCCTTGCACGCACTGTGGTCTGAAACATCTGCCATCAACCATCTTCATCCTCGGCTTTGCTCAGTTGTGTTTACAAACACACTTTCATCTTCATCTAGTCGTTACAGTTGGAGACTGGGAGGGGCCTTTTAAGTGGGAAAGTCTACATCCTCTGTTCATCTCACTCTGGCATAGATGTATAGCCTATACATATATTTCATTGCCTGGCAACCTTTGTTTATTTCAGGAGCCTCTGTTTGTGATGAGGGTTGTTTATGATCTGTTGTTCTTCTTCATCATCATCATTATTGTACTTAACCTCATCTTTGGTGTCATCATTGACACCTTCGCTGATCTCAGAAGTGAAAAACAACAGAAGGAGGAGATATTAAAAAATTCATGTTTTATTTGTGGTGAGGTGAAATTTTTATTCGTTTAAAGGGACAATAACACTCTTGCTGGCTTGACAGCTCCAGAAAATAAAAAATAGCCTTATTCTAAGTACTAGATGTGTTAATGTCCTACCTGTTGTGTAAATTATCCATTAAATCCTATTTTACTTGTCCAGGGGGTTCAAAAATATTTTAAATCCAAGTCACATTTGAAAAGCTTTACGTCAGGCTTTTCAAATCATTTAGTTGAATTTTTCCAATTTTTTAAATTAGGTGTGTTAAGATGAAATTTGTATCATCAATGAATTGGAATATTGTAAAATAGTACAATTTGTTGACCAGAATAAAGATTGGGACATATTATTCAGTTACAACAAGAGTGGTATTGAGCCTTTAAATTAGATTAAATATTAAAGAATTCATGTTTTATTTGTGGTGGGATGAACTTTTTATTCGTTTAAATTAGATTGATTTTATGTAACCAATAGAAATGGCTCCCAACAGCTTTATGGAAATATAAAATGGCTCTCAACAGCTTTATGAAAATATTGAATGACTCCCTACAGCCTCGTGAAAATATATGAAAATATGAAATGGCTCCCAACAGCTTTATGAAAATATAAAATGGCTCCCAACACCTGCATGAAAATACAAAATGGCTATCAACAACTTCATGAAAATGTCAAATGACTCCCAACAGCCCTGTGAAAATTTGAAAAGTGAGCCAAGTATCCTAAATTGTAATTTCCATGCCATTTTTTTTTTGTATTTAACAGGTTTGGAGCGATCAGCGTTCGACAATCGTACCGTATCATTTGAAGAACATGTTCAGTCCGAACACAACATGTGGCATTATTTATATTTTATTGTATTAGTTAATGTAAAAGATCCAACAGAGTTTACCGGACCAGAGAGCTATGTTTATTCCATGATAAAGGTTCGTAATTCCATTAGGGTCTTGGAGTGAGAGAGAGAGTGTGAGAGAGAGTTTAACCTACAATCGAAACAAACTAGGCCATTTTGGGACTAACATATGACTGAAGTTATATTTATAGCACAGCTTTCATGAGTTAACAGGTTTAACCAGAGGCACGAATGAAGCGTGCTATAAATGACTTGTAACATTGACAACTGCTCAACATGCTTAGAATTAATGCACGGGAATCCCACCCCACTTCTCTATATGGTTTCTACTAAAACTAGTGTAAACCAGCAAAAGTGTGCAATTACATTGAAGATGTCTAATTATTGCACGGTTAAGCTCCACCCAATCTACTAGAGGGAAAACAATCTGCTTATTCAACGAAAAGAACAAAGGAAGATTTCCCATCGATGTTACAAGTTTATTTAAATAAGGTGCTTGCGTGTAGGGGTCTTGCGTGTGAGGGCCTTTAGCAGTGGGAGGAAACCATAGGATCCGGAGAAAACTCATGAGGTTGGACAGGCTACCCAACTCCTTGTCACGTACAAGCGGGGAATCGAAACCACACCACTTGACTCAATGACAGACCGTATGATATAAAGTGATCACGTTAAAACCATTTGGCCTCCCTGAGGTCTAAGTGAAGGAAATGTAGTAGACCTTGTCAGGAAATATTGAACAAATGTTCCCACTGTCATGTTACGATAGGATTGTCCCTATTGAGTCTGGTACGTACAGATACGTTTCGATACAATCAACACTGACCTCAATATATGATAAGACCTGATAGGATCACCACAATTACTCCACGATTAAAACCATGATTTCAATCGTTGCGCGATCACCACAATTACTCCACGATTAAAACCACCATTTCAATCCTAGCACGAATTGTGATAGTGGGAACCTAACATTAATATATCTTGACATTTTGAACTTTGTGCTGTATTAGTAATGGCTTAAAAAAGACTGAAAATAGACAACATGACAGGCACAAGACGACCTGTGTCTGAGAGATCTCTTAAACATTCTTCCTGCAATTAAAAAGATAGAGAGAAAATGTGGTTTAACATCCTCTTGACACAAACTAGGCCATTTCGGGACTAACATATGGTTATCTCAATAATTCGCTTGCGCATAGAGGTCTTTAGCAGTGCAAGGAAACCAAAGGACCCAGAGAAAACCCACAAGGTTGGACACATTCGGCCCCCTGATCCCCCTCCCCCTCAATTAGAAGCAGAGTTGTTATGGTTCCAAAGGCTTGACAAATCAAACTGCTTACCGCTACTAAAACATGCATTATGCAAGAGCAAAATCTGCTTATTACAAATCTTTCTTTAGGCCTGAAATGTTATCTAAATTATCAATTAGACATTAATTAACTTATCCAGACCATAATAAACTCTCGATGTCAAGGCTAGCCTTCGATGTTGGCTGGATTAAATTCCTATATGCCGCTAACGGCCGTTGATAATTAAATCAGAAAAAGTGGATAATCGAGACTATGCTGTTTATATTAATGATTTTAGTAATGATGACCGAGACTTTGCAAAAATTTCACCCGCTTCTTTCTCGGCTCATAGTGGATCAATTTGACTGAAATTTTCAGCAAATTACCTTTACACTATCTAGTTTTTAACTATTATAGCGAGAACTGCCATCTCTTTATCTTATCTCCCATAATGTATCTTTAACCTAAGAAGAAAATTATCTTCATAATCATTGGCTTAGTTGCTACTACTACTATCTTGTTTCTTGTTGTAGTAGCAAAGTCTTTGCACCTCCCCCCACCACCTCCCCTTTGAGATTCTGTACCCCTTCACAAATGGAAAAAAATCACATGGTTTCAATAGATTTGTTCATAGTTTTGTGCCCCTATCAAATGAAAAAATAATGGTTTCAATGCATGGGGTGAAATTAGACATTTTGTGCCACGTCTCAAATGGAAAAAATGACATGGTGGTTTCAATGCTCATTTCAATGCTATTATAAGCAGATTCTAATCTTCACTACTTCATAATCATATTGCTCAACCAGTGTCAAACATACTGTAACCAAGGTATCATTTAATCTTGTGTATCTAGCACTAATTTCTTTCACATTCGTTTAATATCAAATCTTTGTTTAAAAACTTTTTTGAAATCACCCAAAATCATCTAATTTGTACTTGTGTCCAGTTTAAAGCTGACTGATTAATTTTGAAAATGAGTGTCCAATTTACAAGTATTTAATTTCTCAATCACTGTTAAAATATAAACAACCCAATTGATTATTGATGTATAATGATTAATGTTTGGACAGTGATCAGGAAATTAAATACTTGTAAATTGGACACTCATTATCAAAATTAATCAGTCAGCTTTAAACTGGACACAAGTACAAATTAGATGATTTTAGGTGATTTCAAAAAAGTTTTTAAACAAAGATTTGATATTAAACGAATGTGAAAGAAATTAGTGTTAGAACAGCCCGCAATTTTTCGCGAAGTGACACCCCTGCACCTCTCGCCCACTGAAATAGTTCTCAATGGATCTTGTTCAGTGATCGTCATGCCCCGGAGTTCCATCACAACTAGTATTAGCTATGGTGTTATTTTCGCTAATGTCCTATGAATGCATGGGAGCCACGGTGGCTAGGTGGTTAAGACGCTGGCTCGCTATCCTGGAGGTCGGGTGTTCGATCCCTGCATTGGCCGAGAAAGTTCATCTGGATTTTCTAACGTGGTTTCCCCTTGTCAGTGGTGCAGAACGGAGGGCCTGATAAGGACAGCTGTCTAGTCCTTCGAATGAAACGAAAAACCGAGGTCCCGTGTATACATTAGAATGCACGTAAAAGATCCCTTGGCAGTTGGAATTCGATATAAGAGTAGGCAATAGTGCCGCTGCCCGGGCAAAATTTCCCTCATAGCACACTGTATGGTGTATGCCCGTCTTCATTAGCCCAGCATAGGAGCAGAACAGATGGACGTTAAACCCCATTTCATTTCATTTCATTTCATTTCCTATGAATGCAACTTACCCTTTACCTTCAGAACTGTCTCAAACTCATTGCATTTCCTAGAATCATATATTTCTATTGGTAATGTTTTCCGTTGAACTATTTTTTGCAGGAGAAAAAGTTAGAATGGTTCCCTCGAATGTGTGCTATGTCGCTGACGGCAGAAGAAAGTGAAGGTGAAACTAACGAGTTACGTAATTTACAGGCCCAATTAGATGGTACCAATAAATTAATACAGAATTTATCTTCTCAGCTTAATGATCTAAAAGATCAGGTAAATCAATCAGTTGCTTTTACTTTTGTCACATAAATCATTAAAGCTGAACTACAGAAATATTTAATTAAAAAAGAAAGTTAACATGGTTGACTTATTTCGTCTAATTATAATAATCAATAATAAGAATCGCTTTCTATACGCTGCGAACATTCAGTCAGTCTGACTGCTCTGTGGTGCTTTACAATGTAGATATGATTATAAAAAACATACCAGTATATACAAATAAACAAAAGAATACAAAGGATAAGTCAAGTTACAATATACAAATGGAAAGTGAAGTATATAGTTCAAACGTTAGGGTAAAAAACAGGGTTTATAGACGTTTGGACTATTTTGGACTTCCAGAGGCAATTTGTTCCATTCTTTTGGTGCTGCATATGCAAAAGCTCTCTCACCAAATGTTGACTTCTGTACTGGACATACAAGTTGTTTTTTATGAGATGAACGTAAGGAACGAGAAGGTACATATTGTTTAATCAAATAGGATGGTGCCAAAGGATCCTTTAAACAGATGAAAGTGATTGTGTTAATTAGTAAAATAATATGTACCTGCATGATCAGACATGATTATTGTTGAGAGAGAGAGAGAGAGAGAGAGAGAGAGAGAGAGAGAGCGCGCAATAATGTTTTCAGTAAACTAATAGTGAAAAAACTTCAATCAATCAGTAGGTAATTGGTAGTTGACTAGCTAACAGGATGTGGACACTTTGCTTGACACGGCATATACTGGATGTGGGTGTGGCCTGTCTGTGTTTTTGTTACCCCTTAGCGATCGCCATATTTGTTCTACAAATTGAAAACAAGTATGGCGGTTGTTTAGGATGTTAATTTTTTTTTTATTTAATTATTTCTGTAGTTTTGTAATCAGAGTTCCGCTTTTAGTGGTCTTTACAGAGCAAAAACAAATTGGTTTTGGAAATTTCATTGCGATTACCGAAAATTATCATAAGACTTGGTGAGAATATAACTAAAAAAAAAATGAGCAACCCCTAAATTTTGTCCGATTTTCCTCAAATTGTTTTCTAATTACATTCTGACCATATCTCATAATAATTTTGTGTATCCCGTAGGAAAATCAAAAAATGAATTTTAAGTATCACCGTAAAGGTCATGTGCACCATAATAGTTCTATTTGCCCCAGGGAGATCACTTGTTCGACCCTAGATTTTCTAACCTGGTTTTGACTTGTCAGTAGTGCAGGATGTCATTCGGCTTGTATTCCCTTGTCAGTGGTGCAGGATGGAAGACTGTTGTTCGACTGGTATTCCCTTGTCAGAGGTGCAAGATGTCGTTCGGCTGGTATTCCCTTGTCTGGTGCGGGATGTCGTTTGGCTGGTATTTGTAATGGCATTTCCAGAACGTTGTCTAACTTGGTTTCGTGTATCGGAGCCACAATGGCTGAGTGAGTAGGTCATTGGCTCACTGACCTGGTGGTCCAGCTTGCTTGAGAAATTCATCTGGATTTTCTGCGTGGTTCCCCCTTGTCAGTGTTGCAGGAAGGAGGGCACGGCAAGGTACAATGTATAGTCGTTCGGATAGGATGTACACATAAAAGAACTCTTGAAAGTTGGTATTCAAAATAATTGTAGTGCATCCAGATTTTCCGGCTTGGTTCCCCCTTGTCAGTAATGCAGGACGGAGGGCCTGACAAGGACAGCTGTCTAGTCCTTCCCGTGTATACATTGGAATGCACGTAAAAGATCCCTTGGCAGTTGGAATTCGATATAAGAGTAGGCGATAGTGCCACTGCCCGGGCAAAATTTCCCTCATAGCACACTGTAGAGCGTATTTTAGGATATCACTAATTATTTTTATGTATCCATTAAATTTATTTCATTTTTATTTTTATTTTACGTAGATGACAGAACAACGAAAACAGAAACAGAGAATGGGATTGTTACAGAATCCTACGTTCCCCATGAACCACCAAAGTTTATAGATAAAAATAGCTCGTAGTCGTTTCTGATTATATCAGTGGGTGGTGCCAGGATTTTCCAGAATGGAGGGATGGAATGTGGAACACTATCAAGAGAAATGATGGAATCGTAGTATCCATCAGAAAGTGGGAAAATTGGCTCATGGAAATTTAACTTTTGAATTATTTTAGGCCCCATCCAAGAACCCTGCTCTCCCCCCTTGCTGCTGCCACTGGTAGAATGTGATAGCTTGTTTGATCCAGAGCCAGAAATATTTTTATTTATTATGAAACCAGAAAACAGTTGGCCAGTGTACGTGTTAACCATGTGACCTTTGTACGCAAATTTCTAACCCACCCTACCTCTACTAAAGCTTTAACAAATTTTGGACTGTGTTGATGAAATATGTCAAAAATGACCAAAATTATGTAAAAGTTGAATTGAGCAAATAATTCTTTGATGGCTGTTGCCCCCAAACAGCACAAAATTGATAATTGTGAATATACTTTGTAGATATATATATATATATAGATATCTGGGTATTGTTTTGGTCCGATTCACCTGTCGAGACTAGCTGGTCCAATTCATCTGTCAAGACTGGCTGGTCCAATTCACCTGTCGAGACTGTCTGGTCCGATTCACCTGTCGAGTCTGGCTGGTCCAATTCACCTGTCAAGACTGGCTGGTCCGATTCACCTGTCGAGACTGGCTGCTAGTTCAATTGATTGCAGGAGGATATTAAGTGCAGAAGGACCGCACCACACACTAACAAAACTCTGCGGACAATGGGAAATGCAAAACTATCAAATCAATTGAATGGATCCAGGGTCTAGCCATAAGCTCCCACTGAAATGTACAGTTCTGGGTCTGTAGTGAAAAGCAAAAAGTAACATTAAAAAGAAACCCAGTAAATTAATATTAGGATTGTTTATGTGTTAAAAGACTCTTTAGTGTTTATTTATAAATCGGAGACGATGCAAATAATTGCAAAAATTGTCTGACATATACCTGACCAGCAGGAAAACTGTTGAAATGGGAAAACCTTAATGTATATAGTAATGTATTTACATATCTTTAAATATATTATAAATCTGAATTAATCAAAATCTCCATTTCACGATCAATATTATCCTTCCGTCTATATTCCTGTATCTGTTCATTAGAAACAATTTTACTTTCCAGTTTTAACTTATAAAAGATCCTTAAAGAGTAGACCATATTGCCACTGCCTGGGCAAAATTTCCCTCATAGCACACTGTATGATGTATGTCCGTCTTGAATAGCCAAGTCGGTACAGATAAGTAGGCATTAAACCTCACTTTATTTAATTTATTAATGTGGCTGCTCAATATGTAAGGTGCTGAGCATGGCTCACTAACCAGGAAGGCCCAGGTTCAATCCCGGTGGTATCCGTGAATGTTCCTCAGGGGTTTCCAGTCTGCTTTGTCTGTGTCAGTCATGCAGAATCAGAGAGCCTGGCAAGAAAAGAATGAGGTTTCGTCTTCATGTTTTTGTGCTTGCAAAAAAACCCATGGCAGTTGGATTTTCCTGAAGAATAGGCAGTAATGAACGCAGCTTTCTAAGCTCACTATGCCAATCTTCATTTGTCAGGTTACTGTAGGACTTCAACCACATTTTATTTCATATTGTTAATTTGATTACAAAAACTGCCATTTGAATTGATAGGTGCTATATAATAACAATGTGTAGATCGTTAACCCTCATCGAAAACACCTGTTATAATACTTAGACTACAACTTGGGTATCATGTAGTTGTGATGTGTTACGTTTAGATCTTATAGTAGGACATTAAACCCCATTTCATTTCATTTCATTTACATTTATATGTATAAATAATAATGATAATCGTTTTATATAGTGCTGAACATCCAGTCAGTCTGAATAATACACACAGATCCTATTTCGTTCTGTTTTACATATCTTCAGACCGGGGTGACGTAGTTACTGCGTCAGACCGGGGTGACGTAGTTACTGCGCTGCTGCGACCGTACGGCGACCAGAAAAGGGACAAGGTCTGACGGGGATACAAGATACTATCTGGACCAGTTGTTAAATATCCCCATTCTGGTTGATGTGAGGGTTTAGAGAATCAGACGTTGGTGTTAAATGATAAGGCCAGCTCAATTTTTTGTCATAGGTCACAAAATGTAAACAGGGCTAGCGCTAATCCCAACCCTAACCCTTGACCTAGCCCCAATGCTTACCCTAACCTACAATCTCGCCAACAATCACGTGCCCTAACCTTGTTTACATCTCAGCGACCTTGACAAAAATTGAGCTGACCTTAACAAATAGATTTAGCCGACAATAAAATAGTTTGTTGAGTTAAGTTTTGAACGTCTGGCGCACACTGTCTATGGGTAGATGGAAAACAATTCAAAGCAAAAGATGTATTTCACATGACCCCTGACGCGACTTCCCATGGCAACTGGTCAGATATTTATGTAGTGAAGGCCAAATTTTAAAACAAAACGAAATATAGATCTGTATTTTAATCAGAATTGTACAAATCTATATGTTTATAAACTTTATGATTTTGCTTTTAGGTTCATATTGTCAATAACTGATATGCTTTGATGTGTTCATTACTCTTTTGATGTACTAGAACAAGAGTGGCCAACCTCCAGCAAGGAGGATTCATTAAACAAACATTATACAAAAGCCCAATCTGCCTATTGCAGGTTTTTCTTTATAGGCCTGAAATGTTATATAAATTATTAATTAGACATTAATTAAATTATCCAATCCAGGATGGCAAGGAATTTCTCCGATATTAAATAGATTAGAACAGTTCAGCCATATTTTGATTTAAGCTAAAACTGAAGGAGCGAGATTTAGCTTCAAACAACCAGTACGATGGTTGAAATTATTGCACACATCATGTCAAACCTTCAAAGGCTAATATCTTCGCTGGCAATAGAGTAATTTGAATGAAATTTTCACATTATTCATTTTATATTATCTATTTTTGAGCTATTATAGCAAGAATGGTCAGCTTTGTATCTAAATCGTACATAATGTATCTTTAATTACCAGTCTTGGCTTCATTGTTTTATATTCACCATAATACAGCAGCTTGTACGTTCGATCATGAGAAACTTGGCAAGAAATTAAATATCAAAGAAATGACATGCACACATAAAGATGTCCTAAAATATTTTGACAAAGTTTACAACAACGATCTTAGTTGCAGTAAAATGTCAGTTACTTCCCTTTGCCTACTTGCTTTCTATTGATGGAACTTTTTGATCAGTCAATATAAATAGCTCAGTTATCAAGGGTGGGTGATTTGATTGTCTCCCCTTGTAAATGGACCTAGGGGTTGGTGGAGTGGAATAGAATGATGCCATTGGGGCTAACAGGGTGACGATAAGGTGAACAATTGACTACTTCATTATTTAAAGGACAATATTGGTGCCAGTCATTATCACTTATGTGATAGAACTGGTTAAACACATTCCAAATATAATTTTAACACAGAGATCATTGCTACCATAGCTGAGTAATACAGGTTTCCTGAATCGGAAGTGACGAACGCCAAAGGAAAACACGAATCATACCTCTATATAACTGACTGGTGTGATGAGTGATAACAGATACACGGCCGAATTTCAGTCAGTTATATAGAGGTATGACTCGTGTTTTCCTTTGGCGTTCGTCACTTCCGATTCAGGAAACCTGTATTTCTCAGCTATGGTAGAATGATCTCTGTGTTAAAATTATATTTGGAACGTGTTTAATTAGTTCTATCACATATGTGATAATGACTGACACCAATATTGTCCTTTAACTCCACTTTCTCTTGTAAAATATCTTAGTATTTCTAAATATTTCTATTTTTGTCTGAAACTCTATCATCCATGAATATTGCAGGTCTTTTTGAAATGTTATATAATTTATGATTCAGACATTCTTGTACTTATACATGATAGTTCTACTATCAGCATTTACGCTTTCATCATATAAACATGAATAAGAGTCCAGGGGAAGAACGATCTAAGTCACATTTTTGTCTTTTCGCAAAAACGGCAAAACAGACTTTTGGACAAGAAATTGACGCGAACAGTTAACAATGAGTGTGTTTAATTACAACTTCAAAATGATGTTTAATACAACCATAATTACCAGTACAACTGACTTCAACTTTTCAGGCAAATTAAGGTTAAATAAAGGGTACGATGGACTTGTAATTGTCTGAGGGGCCATTTCAGAACGGCCTTGGTTCGATATGACTCAATCATTTTTACCTGAAATAGATTGTTCCACAGAAAGCTAATACAATTTGCTACCAGATGGCGCCATTAATTTGGTGCCATTGAAAAAGTGACTTAGATCGTTCTTCGCTGGGACTCTTCAAATATATATATCAACATCTTGTACCGTATGAGCCATCAATTTGTTGTGTTTTGTTTAATAAAAAGACCAGTTATATGTACTTATAGAATTTGTTGGTCAGAAAAATTGTTTTTCATTTATTTTATAATACCCTCTTTTTCTCATGTTATTCATTATAGTGAATACATCTTGTAGATAGAGTATAGTGGCATGCGCTACGCAGAGGTTTGGTGAAAACCCCTTGATTTTATATGGCCCCAAGACTCACTTAGTAGTACTGTGTCATAAACATGATATAAACAGAAATAATATTTCAAATTTCTGATTAGATACTCGGGGCTGGGGGTATCTATTCTACACATAAAGTGTAGATATGTCAGACTGGTTAATCATTCTACAAACATATTGTAGATATATCAGACTGGTTAATCATTCTACCCATATATTGTAGATATATCAGACTGGTTAATCATTCTACCCATATATTGTAGATATATCACACACTGGTTAATCATTCTACCCATATATTGTAGATATATCACACTGGTTAATCGTTCTACCAACATATTGTAGATATATCACACTGGTTAATCGTTCTACCAACATATTGTAGATATATCAGACCGGTTAATCGTTCCTAATACCACCAGACATTTTTGATTTGAGTCAAATATAAAAATTTTGTACTGTTGTTCTTCTTATTATGACTATATTTAATATTTAAAAGTTTTATTTATGTGAAGTTTTTGTACGAGTTTTCTGTTGTAATTGAGCCAATATTTGTTAATACATGTGCATTATTATTACCCCCCACTGCTCATTATTACTCCCCACTTCCCCCACTCGGCAAACCTCGGCAGATTCCGTTACTCGACATCTAACCTCGGCTGTATGACAGTAAGTGATATGTACCTACGCCTATACAATTGTGATGCGGCACCGGTTTACTTATTAGGAAAACTTTCCGCTTTTAAAAAGAAGTTATCAAAATTGCGTCGTTCGATGCGTGTTTAGAATTTTCAGTGCAAAGTTGTCCTTGTTTGAAGAAAATCGGATAACCTTCAAAGAAAAACAGCTTCAGACTTTGACATATTTGTATGATAAAACATTCTTCAAAGACGTCGTCATGGGCAACGCCATTGGTAATCCGGGAACTTGAAAGTAGTTCCAATGGCGGACCTTGTCATATAGCCGATGTAGGGTACTGGAATCTGCTGAGGTTTGCCGAGTGCACTTCCCTATCTCTACTTCCCAGTCTCAGTCTATTTCACCTAAGTTACCCCCCCCCTCCCTTATTTCAATGAGACAATGGCGATGTTCGATTGAACGTTCCAGAATTAAATTCTCTAAATTCCCAAAATAGTGTCAGTCGAGTGAAAAGGAGAATTTCGGAATATCTCAATCAATCACGATCCTACTCACACCACCTCAACTGTTGGGACTGACAGACCTGTGAAATGGCTGAATCCTGTATCACTTGATTGCAATTCTGGATGTTCCGGACTGACAGTCGAGCACCCCCAGTCTTCAACTGTGTAATTATACTGTACAGGTTGCTACGTATATAGGCCCACCAAACAAAGTTATTTTATAGAATATATGATATCTTTTTCTTTACCTCATTAATATACGAAATATCTTTCCAGCAAAGCTGTAATATATAAATATATATAGATAGATATATAGATATACCCTTTTCTCTCCCTAATTAATACAAGTTTTGTTAATTAATACTAATTTTGCTGATCAGCGTGTATGATAATTAATATAAGTTTTGCTGACCAGGCTGTTTGCTAATTAATATAAGTTAGGACGATCCACTGTATGCTACTAAATATACTGAGGATCTGCCCAATTAATATAAGTTATGCTGACCAGGCTGTATGCTAAGTGATATAAGTTATGCTGACCAGGCTGTATGTTAATTGATATAAGTTATGCTGACCAGGCTGTATGCTAATTGATATAAGTTATGCTGACCAGGCTGTATGCTAATTGATATAAGTTATGCTGACCTGGCTGCATACTAATTGATATAAGTTATGCTGACCAGGCTGCATGCTAATTAATATAAGTTTTGCTGACCAGGCTGTATGCTAATTGATATAAGTTATGCTGACCAGGCTGTATGCTAATTAATATAAGTTATGCTGACCAGGCTGTATGCTAATTGATATAAGTTATGCTGACCTGGCTGCATGCTAATTGATATAAGTTATGCTGACCTGGCTGCATACTAATTGATATAAGTTATGCTGACCAGACTGCATGCTAATTAATATAAGTTTTGCTGACCAGGCTGTATGTTAATTGATACAAGTTATGCTGACCTGGCTGTATGTTAATTGATATAAGTTATATGCTAACCAGGCTGTATGCTAATTGATATAAGTTAATGCTAATTGTAATTGTATGTTAAATAATTAATTGATTATAAATAAGTGTTGTTAATTTTAGCTGTTAAATAATTTATCTTGACATTAATTATAAATTTTATAAAGTAATCTTGATTAAAGTCCATTTTATACTTCTAAATTACTGTTACTTCAGAGAGAGAGAGAGAGAGGGAGAGAGAGAGAGATCTACTTCAGAGAGATCCCTGTACACATTGGTGTGGACATAAAAGATCCCTTTGCAGTTGGAATTTGATATAAGAGTGGGCCATAGCGATGCTGTCCGGGCAAAATTTCCCTCATGGCACACTGAGAGAGAGAGAGAGAGAGAGAGAGAGAGAGAGAGAGAGAGATCTACTTCAGAGAGATCCCTGTACACATTGGCGTGGACATAAAAGATCCCTTTGCAGTTGGAATTTGATATAAGAGTGGGCCATAACAATGCTGTCCGGGCAAAATTTCCCTCATGGCACACTGTGTGACGTATCCCGACTGGAAGTCTTCATTAGTCCAGTCGGAGCAGAACAGAAGGGCAGTAAACCAAATTTAGAGAGTGCGAGAGAGAGAAGCAGCGTAACCTCCACTTAGCAGGGGGGTTGGATGGCGGAATGGTTAGCGTGCGCGCGCTGTACCATAAAGTCTGTCATTGAATCGACTGGCGTGGTTTCGAATCCCCGGTTGTACGTGGCAAGGAGTAGGGTCGCCTGTCCAACCTCGTGGGTTTTCTCCGGGTCCTCCGGTTTCCTCCCACTGCCAAAGACCCCTACGCACAAGCAAATTATGTAAAAAAAATTAAACCATATGTTAGTCCCGAAATGACCTAGTTTGTGTCGAGTGGACGTTAAACCCCATTTCTCTCTCTCTCTCTCTCTCTCTCTCTCTCTCCACTTAGCACTATGGCCTACTTTTATTTTGAATTCCTTTGTCTACTTTTACTTTAGAGAGAGAGTGTCGGAGATATGCGGCTTAACCTCCACTCAGGATAGCACATTTCCTCTCTGACTGGGCAAACAAAGATGGCATTAGGCATACAGTGCGCAATGGGACATTTGCCGGGACAGCAGTGCTATTTTCCCGGTCGCGTGTAAGTCCCTGTGAACGCCAAAGGAACATTTTAGTGAGACAATAAGACCTTGCTTACCTTGCTTAAGGTCAGTGTGCGCGACACAACATGCTGTTAAAAATACACTCCCTTCTACTAAACATAGGGTAACGCACACGTTTACGTAACACGGCCATATATGACGAACTAGAGCTGAACTAGTGTCTATCATGCCAAGTTATTATAACTTTAAAATGTTATAAACTGACTTTTTACAAAAACGTGGCGCCATTGGTCCAGGATTGGCTAAGAAAGTTCCAGGGTAGTTTACCCGTTGTCGATGATGCAAGGCGGGGGGTGGGGCAAAGAACAGTGTCTAGTTGTTCGGATAAGACGTAAAGCGGTGGTTCCGTGTACATCTTGGCGTGCTCGTAAAAGAACCCTTGAAAGTTTTAATAAGATGGCGAATAGGTGGAACGTATCCTTCAAGACAGACTGCATGGCGTATTCCGGTCTCGATTAGTCCAGTTTCATTTCGTTTTATGTTTTATACAGTAATTAAAGTATCTATAATTCTAACTCAATATTATCCAAAGTCTTCGACATTGAAGACACAAATTATTTGTCAATTTAAATCAACATTGATGTTGTGATACTACCGGGAAAAGATGGGGATTCTGATATCCAATATTTAAGACAAAAAAAACATTTTACCATTGGTGAAAATGAAATGAAATGAAATGGGGTTTAACGTCCTACTGTTCTGCTCCTATGCTGGGCTATTGAAAACGGGCATACGCCATACAGTGTGCTATGAGGGAAATTTTGCCCGGGCAGCGGCACTATCGCCTACTCTTATATCGAATTCCAACTGCCAAAGGATCTTTTACGTGTATTCCAATGTATACACGCGGAAGGGCTAGACAGCTGTCCTTGTCAGGCCCTCCGTCCTGCATCACTGACAAGGGGGAACCACGCCGGAAAATATGGATGAACTTTCTCGGCCAATGCAGGGATCGAACACGCGACCTTCTGGCTAGCGAGTCGGCGTCTTACCCACTTAGCCACGTGACCCCCCCCCCCCCTTCGACATTGAAGACACGAATTATTTGTCAATTAAAAGCAACATTGATGTTGTGATCTCACCGGGAAAAGGTGGGCTTCTGATATCCAATATTTAAGACAAAATAAACATTTAACCATTGGTACAGGAATTGTGTTCCATAGTGCGTGCCAGTGCCATTTGTAACAACGGACTCGAAGAAAGAGGCCTAGACATATTTCACAAGTCATATCAAACGGTGACGCCATATTATTATCCGGAGAGCATGCGCAATAAATACTATCGGTGTAGACAGGAATAACCAGGCGCAAGAGATTGCCATTTGATTGACACTTCTGGCGTATTCGCTAGCGTATTTCGCCAAACATAACTGACTAGAAATTAGAGTAAAAGCAGACACAATTTAATGTATATCATTATATATACATTCATGTTGCATTATTATGCGTTGCGAACCATTTGTGTCATTTCTAGATCCCAAATATTATCGATTTTTAGACACTTTAACCCAACTTAATTTTCCTTAACACTCCAGACGTTTTATCTTCGAGTGTGGTGTTTTTGCTCTACAGAACCCACAAAGTAAAAAGTCAAACAAAACAAAACTTTTCCTACCAGGCCAATACCTATTCCACTGCATGTTCCTGCAGCAAAGACTGCGAGTTTTACAACATTTAGACGTTGATACATTTCCGAACTTAAATTACAACTACGTGATCTCCCTTTCCCACAGACACGTTTACAGTAGCGTCCAATCATAGGTTGTGACACAAACACACTCATATCAAACATGGCGACCTCAATGGAAACCTATAGCTTCCCCGCAGACACGTGTACAGTAGCGTCCAATCAGAGGTTGTGACACAAACACACTCATATCAAACATGGCGACCTCCATGGAAACCTTGAAATTGATCGAACCTTGAACTTTGCAACTCGATTATCACAGGTAGACATTTTAGCTGGAAAGTGCGAGACTTGGTATTCGCGATGATCTAGGAATCTGAGAGGCTCTCAAGCTGGGTCAGTACCCAATCGAAATTAGTGCCGACATATGCAGCGTATTACGTGAAGGCCTTGATAAGATGTACGGAGATAAAGCGAGACCAAGCCTTCTATTGAAGATGATTGGTCGAAACCCCAACCAAATAACTTTGTGCTTAAATAGATTGTCCCAATCACTGCACTATTAATACCAATCCAGAAAAAAACCACAAGTGTGTGTACGTATATAGTACGACGTTTCGACAAGTATTCTCATATTGTCTGTGCTGGATAACGATAAGAGAAAACATAAAGAAACGTTGTGCTATAATGTGTTCAGACCAATGATTGTTTTCCATATAAATTATGATCAATCACTAAATACCAATCAACGATCAATCTAATTAACAAAATACATACGTAAAAGTGAAACATTTCATATAAATTTATTATTCATGTCATACAATTATATTTATTGTTTTAGTTGTCTCTGTCACGTGTGAAAAGTGCTATGATATCTGTATTGTTGTTCAAACAGTATTTATTTCAATGATTTTATACATGATATTTCATTTAAAGGCCAAGCTGTTTAAGGTTTAATCCTACACGTAGTTCACAACCGGCTGTATACGTGCGCTACTACGGACAGTCAACGGAGGAGGGGGGGGGGGGGGAGTGTTAAGTAAACCCGTACGCGAGACTTACGCGTCACTTTCGGGTGTTCGGTACCGTATAAGATCGCTGACTGGCCGTAACGACTTTTGGCCCTGAACATACAAAATTTTCATCCGGTTTCTTGCGGCTGGTCTGCGAGCTACCAAACCCTACAACCAGTGCGTGTCAATACACGTATAGCGGGTTGTAAACTAGACTTTACATGTGCGCACAGGTTTAATTCTTCTACGGGCGTTGACGTATACGTAACTTGTTATGGTTAATGACCTGACATGCCCTGATTGGTTAGATCTATTTCGTAAGGCCAACTTCAAGTTTGGTCAAAGGTCACGAGATGTAAACAGGGCTAGCGCTAATCTCAACCCAACCCTAACCCTGGACCTAGCCCTAACGCTTACCCCAACTCAAACCTACAATCTCGCCAACAATTATGTGCCCTAATCTTATTGACATCTCAGCAACCTTCACTAAAACTGAGCTGGCCTTAACAAATAGATTTAGCCCTACAGGTAGTGTGGTACATCGACAGTATAAAAAAACCCGAAACTAAAAATAGAACCGCATTGCATTCAGATTGTTTTCTCCTCGGAATTGGGGGGTTGGATGGCTGAATGGTTAGCGTGCGCGCTGTATCATTAAGCCTGTCATTGAGTCGACTGGCGTGGTTTCGATTCCCGGTTGTACGTGACAAGGAGTAGGGTCGCCTGTCCCACCTCGTGGGTTTTCTCCGGGTCCTCCGGTTTCCTCCCACTGCTAAAGACCCCTACGCGCAAGCGAATTATTGAAATAAAATTAAACCACATGTTAGTCCCGAAATGACATAGTTTGTGTCGAGTGGACGTTAAACCTCATCTCTCTCTCTCTCTCTCTCTTTCTCTCTCCTCGGAATTGGGCAGTTATATATTTTAGTGGCTGCGAAGATGAATTTTGGATCTGTGTATAAATCATAGCATTGTTCAAACCTGACAGCATTCTGATAAGTTATATTAAAGGCTCAATACCACTCTTGTTGTAACTGAATAATATGTCCCAATCTTTATTCTGGTCAACAAATTGTACTATTTTAGAATATTTCAATTAATTGATGATACAAATTTCATCTTAACACACTTTATTTAAAAATTTGGAAAAATTCAAAATAATGGTTTGAAACGTCTAACGTAAACCTTTTCAAATGAAACTTCGATTTAAAAATATTTTTCGAACCCTCTGGACAAGTAAAATAGAATGTAATGGATAATTTACACAACAGGTAGGACACTTAAACATCTAGTACTTAGAATAAGGCTATTATTTATTTTCTGGAGCTTTCAAGCCAGCAAGAGTGTTATTGTCCCTTTAACTGATTCAGCTTCATGAAAATAAACAGTATTTCCTGAGAAACAAAAGCATGGAATAGGGAAAGAAATACATTTCTATAGTGATTCAAGAGTTCTGAAAAACAACTAATCGTGATGATAGAACATGCATATTTAAAGTAGCTAAGTCTCTAACTCAATATCATCCAAAGTCTTACACGTTGAAAACACAAATTATTTGTCAATTCAAATCAACATTGATGTTGTGATCTTGCCGGGAAAAGGTAGGCTTCTGGGGCCTGTTTCATGAAATTTTAACTAAGATAAAATCCAAATTTTAGTAATTTGATTGGATAATATTCGATTGATTTTAGTGCTTAACCAATCAAAATTGAAGTATCTACTAAAATTTGGATTTTATCTTTAGTTAAAATTTCGTGAAACAGGGCCCTGATATCCAATATTTAAGACAAAATAAACATTTTACCATTGGTACACGAATCGTGTACCATAATGCGTTTCAGCGTCATTTGTAAAAGGTGACCATAAAGAACGAGGCTAGACATATTCCACAACTCCTATCAAACGGTGACGCCATATCTTATCTGGAGAGCATGCGCAATAGACGGGAATAACCAGACGCTTGTAATTGCCATTTGGTTGATCGAGATTCATGCCGTATTTCGCTGGACGTAACTGATTTGAAATTAGAGTCAAATCGGAAACAATTAAATGTAAATCAGTTTATATACAATCAGAATACATTATTATATGCGTTGCGACCCATTTGGGTCAATTTCTAGGTCCCAAATATTAGCGATTTAGCTCCTTTAGGATAAAACATGTCTTATCTACATGTCTTAATATAACAAGTTTACACGTATTCTTCCTTCACAATCAGATAATTCTTATGTATCTAAAATTGTACACAATGCCGTACTGTTAAGAGCCAACTTGACTCCCGAGTTCACAATGCATTCTCAGACTTAAAGTAGCTAAGTCTCTAACTCAATATCATCCAAAATCTTCGACATTGAAAACAGGATTTATTTGTCGGTTTAAATCAACATTGATGTTGTGATCTTACCGGAAAAAGATGGCTTTCTGATATCCAATATTTAAGACAAAATAAACATTTTACAATTGGTACACGAATCGTGTACCATAATGCGTTTCAGCGATATTTGTAATAAGTGACTCGAAAAACGAGGCTAGGTATATTCCACAGATCATGTCAAACAGTGACGCTATATTCTTATCTGGAGAGTATGCCCAATAAATACTATCAGCGTAGACTGGAATAACCAGAAGCTAGAGATTGAAATTCGATTGAGAATACTGGCGTATTTCGCCGAACCTAACTGATTAAAAATTACAGTAAAAACAGAAACGATTGAATGTTAATCAATTTATATACATTCATATTACATTATTGTATACGTTGCGACCCATTTGTGTCAATTTCGAGGTCCCAAATATTAGCGACTTAGCTCCTTTAAGTTAAAACTTGCCCAACTTTCAATCACTGTTTATCAGAAATATCTTTGATCCAGAAACAAAAAAACTTTGCACATAGTTTCTTATTGATGTATTTGATACATTAAAACAACAAAAGTTTTATAAAGGGCTATATTTTTGTTTTTGTTAAAATAAGCCGAACAATTTTTAGTAAATTCTTAACTTAAGTCCGTGTATGCTTTTTGAACTCTGTGTCTTGAATTTAAAAGGCAAAATTCCCTTTCTTAGCCGTGTACACGTCACAATATTAAACCAAATTAACCGCCTCGTGGTTTCAAAGTACCTTATCCAAAATATTGACGATAATTCAAATCCATTTTTTAAATTTATTTCCCATCGAATAGTAAAGTGCGGTGGATGTAAATGAAATGAAATGTGGTTACGTCCTATCTTTCTGCCCCGACTGGGCTAATGAAGACGAGCATACACTACTATACACAGTGTGCTATCAGGGAAATTGTGCCCGAGCAAGCAAAGGAAGTCGGTCATTAATAAAATTATCTATCGAATACACCAACAATGTGGGTTTATTTTTGAGGTAATAAAACCATATGATTTAATTACTGGGGGGGTTGGATGGCCGAATGGTTAGCACGCGCCCGCTGTATCATACGGTCTGTCATTGAGTCAACTGGCAGGGTTTCGATTCCCCGGTTGTACGTGACAAGGAGTAGGGTCGCCTGTCCAACCTCGTGGGTTTTCTCCGGGTCCTCGGGTTTCCTCCCAATGCTAAAGACCCCTACGCGCAAGCGAATTATTGAATAAAATTGAACCATGTGCTAGTCCCGAAATGACCTTGTTTGTGTCGAGTGGACGTTAAACCCCATTTCTCTCTCTCTTTTTCTCTATTTAATTACTTCCGTATTCATTAGCGCAGTCGGTAGAAAAGTAGGACGTTAAACCCCATTTCATTTTCATTTATTTATCTAGGATATTAGAGGCATGCATCTAACTCTTGACATAAAAATCATCTTTTAACAAAAAATGTTGATACGAGATAATTATTCTTCGTTAAAAATATTTTAAATAATTTCTTTGTTTAAACATACATTATGCAAGAGCTAAATCTGCCTATTGCAGGTTTTTCTTTAGGCCTTAAATGTTATCTAAATTATTAATTAGACATTAATTAACCTATCCAGACTATAATCAACCCTTGATTTTAACTAGATTAAAACGGTTCGCCATTTAAAAATTTAATTTAAAATTGAGAAAGCGAGGCTAAGTCCCGATTATACCAGTGCCCTCGTTACCACAGTGCACACATCTTGTCAAAACGACAAACAATGATAACTTGACCGAGAATGAAGTAATTTGAATGAAATTTCCAATATTTTCTTCTTTTTTTATCATCTATTTTTAAATTATTAAAGCAAGAATGATCAAATCTTTAATAAACTAATGGATCTTTAATTTGGAATATTTTTAATCTCTGCATTAACAGCAAGAGGCCCAAAGGGCGTTAGCCTAATCGACTAACGTTTAAGAATATATGTGTGTATGAAATGAAATGAAATGGGGTTTAACGTCCTACTGGTCTGCTCTGAATTGGATTAATGAAGACGGGCATACGCCATACAGTGTGCTATGGGGGGAATTTTGCCCGGGCAGCGGCGCTACGGCCTACTCTTATATCGAATTCCAACTGCCAAGGGATCTTTTACGTGCACGCCAATGTGTACACGGGACCTTCGGTTTTCGCCCCATCCAAACGACTAGACAGCTGTCCTTGTCAGGCCCTCCGTCCTGAATCACTGACAAGGGGGAAACCACGCCGGAAAATCTGGATGAACTTTCTCTGCAAATGCAGGGATCGAACAGCCGACCTCCAGGCTAGCGAGCCAGCGTCTTACCTACTTAGCCACGTGACGCTCATGTGTGTATGAAATACTTCGTTGGGATGCCAACAATAAAAGACCCTTATATCATTCTAATCTTCTTGCGACAATCTAGTCTCTATCATCCAGAAAAATATTCTACGAATATTAGTCTGGATGCGTTGTTACATTTGAGGATAATATGTCATTGGCTAGATTATCCAGTCTTTTACATTAGCATAAACAAAGACTAAGGGAGGTAACTAGTTCCAAAACAAGAAATTAATTGAAGCGTGCCATTTCAAAAAATCCATTTGATTACATCGTCAGTTCTAATCCAACACTCTTATTTTTTTTTATTGTAAAATTTCTCTCTTCATGCGCCATATCTATTTTTTTATATATATTAATCCCAATTCATTGTCACGATTCACGTTTGTTTATAATAGCCTACTGCAAGAATTATGGGATTTATTGCGGGAAGGGGCACAACTCTTACTCGGCTTGGCCAATGATACTGGATAATTAACCACATATAAAACCAAACTCCCGGTTACACATGGGCAATGGAACTTTTCGTCAAATATTGACAACGGTCTCAGACCCCCCGTAAGTTGAAGTCTAGGAGGTTCTGGGTGACCAAAACTAGCGACAGGCTAATTTTCAAAAGCACCATCGATAGATATATTATTATATGAACAAAATGTTATTGTAATTAATAAAGATTATATTTAAAGTTACAAGCCAAAAAAATGTCCCCACCCGCAACCGCAAGCGGCATCGATTATTCTGATTAAATTCGATTGGATTTGGTCAAATATTTCTCTATGTAACTATGATTTTAGCCTGCCAGAATCCAGATTATTTCAAGTTGAAGCATCTAATGGCTAAGCATTTATGAAAACCCTCTATATTACCAACAAATAAATCCAACTAATCCACCATAATCAGAGACAGATCCGATTAAAAATTCAGTTCATCTGGTATTCACGTCACCGAAGTCTGGCGACGTCATAGGGGATGGGGCGAATAGTTAGCACGTGCGCGCTATATCATAAGGCCTGTCATTGAGTCAACTGGCGTATTTTCGAATCCATGGTTGTACGTGACAAGGAGTAGGGTCGCCTGTCCAACCTCGTGGGTTTTCTCCGGGTCCTCGGGTTTCCTCCCACTGCTAAAGACCCCTACGCGCAAGCGAATTATTCAATAAAATTAAGTAAGACAGCTTGTGCCACGATAATTTAAAAATAAACACCTTCATTTTAATTTCATTCCTTGATTGGGAGTGTCCAACCACGTGGGTTTACTCCGGGTCCTCCGGTTTACTCCCACTGCTAAAGACCCCTACGCGCAAGCTAATTATTGAAATAAAAATAAAATTAAACCATACGTTAGTCCCGAAATGACCTAGTTAAACTCTCCCTCTCTCCCTCTCTCTCGCGACGTCATGACCCATTTGAGGGAGAAAAAAGAAACAGCCTGTTTTAGTTTTTTGTGTAAGGATGGACATTTCCACCAACACATGTAATTAAATGTTCTCATACAACAGAATGACATATTGTCGGGTGTATCACACCATAATGTCGGCATCAGGCCCATTCTATTGAGTTTATCAACAGACAGTATACGGTTAATTCAACCGTTCAAAGTATTGACTAACGGGGAAACCAAAAATTAGGAGATCAATCGGGCTGATTGGTATCATATCGGGTTGTCGCCGTATGAAGAGCGACATCACGACATCACAACATTTTAACCCGACACCACGACATAGGCTACTCTTCTTGATGTTCTTGGTGGCCACGCCAAATGAAGTACGATTGTTACGAAGGTTGGTATGATTGTTCATTGGTCGTGTTGACGTTGCCATCATGCAAGTGGGTCTTTCCGGTAAGATTTTAAATCGACTTCCTAATTCATCACCAGAAAAAAAAATAACGGACGCGGACGGATTCAAGATTATTATATCACCACCATCATGGAATCTAGATTCGGATTCGGATCTGTCACGTGCTATTTTGGTCTTCGTCTATTTTGCATTGGAAACATCATATACAGTCACGCCTCTGGTGGTAGCCTCGCTATATCCAGCCTCACGCGTCGTCGTCTTAGCACCGGGGTGTCACCATCTGCGCCAGAATAGAATCGTCCGTACCTTTCCTTCCAGAGTAAGATAACAAACCACAGCGAAACAATGGCACCCAATAGACACAGGCCTCCGATAATAAACATATAGTATTTGATCTCGAGATAAACAAACCCACATCCATACACGTTTGGATAGAGAAAAACCCGGGAGTCCGAATTAAAACATTCACACCGAGTCACGTTCAGGCGACATGTAATGTACGTATAAATACGATAGAGCTGAATGGCGGGAAACACACTGGCTATGACGTTTACAAATATGGCAACAATGGAGAAAATGAAACACAGAGCCTGAAAAATAAAAAATAAAAAATATAGCAGAAATGTTATAAATACGAAAGAGAAAGTCGTATGTACGCGATAGAAAACCAAATGGTTGAACTTTGAAATAACTTCGTACAAGACCATAATCAACTCTCGATGACACTGCTAGCCTGCGTTATTTAGTGGATTAGAACCCGGTCTGCTGCTTCTGATTAAATCAAACCACTGGATAATCGAGATTATGTTTTTTTATTGTACCGACTTTAGTAATGAGGATCGAGGCTAGGCCCAAAATTCAATCGGGAAATACTCGGTTTAGGGTGGATCAATTTGACTGAAATTTTCAGCAAATTTCCTTTACATTATCTAGTTTTTAACCATTATAGTGAGAACTACCAACTCTTTATCTAATCTCCCATAATCTATCTTTAATGATTATTGCGTTATTAAAGATACATTATAGGAGATTAGTAAAGTGTTGAATGAATTAAAGATACATTATGGGAGATTAGATAAAGAGTTGACTGTTCTCGCTACAATAGTTAACTTAAATAGAATATGCTGAACATTTCAGACAAATAGTTTTCCACTCTGAACCAAGATTTTAGCTTTTACATTTAAGGTTAGCCTCGATGATCATTTCTAAAGTCCGTAAGGTCGAAGGAAGCCCAACCAATAACACATATACATCAAATTGTATTTTTTCATATCACATAATAGACAAATTATGTCCATCTGCCATCTCTAATTACATGTTCTTTATCTTATAATGGATGAATTATGTCAATCGGGAGTGTCCGAATTATGCCAATCGGGTGTGTCCGAATGCATGTTATGTATCTTATAACGGATAAATTATGTCAATCGGGAGTGTCCGAATGCATGTCATGTATCTGATATTGGACGCTATATGTAAATCGGGAGTGTCCGATTGTTATGCATCTTATAATTGACGAATTATGTCAATCGTGTGTGTTCGAATGTGTGTCCGAATGCATGTTATGTATCTTATGAAGAACGAATTGTGCCAATGTCCGAATGCATGTTATGTATCTTATAATGGACGAATTATGTCAATCGGGAGCGTCCGAATGCATGTTATGTATCATATAATCGACGAATTATGTCAATCGGGTGTGTCCGAATGCATGTTATGTATCTTATAATGGACGAATTATGTCAATCGGGTGTGTCCGAATGCATGTTATGTATCTTATAATGGACGAATTATGTCAATCGGGTGTGTCCGAATGCATGTTATGTATCTTATAATGGACGAATTATGTCAATCGGGGGTGTCCGAATGCAGTTAGGTATTTTTTTTATAAATAATGAAATATGTCACACGGGAGTATCCGAATGCAGTTCTGAGTGTCCAAAATTGTCAATCGGGAGAATCTGAATACACTGTCTATATCTAATAAAGTATATTTATTAGGCCCGCAGATAGAAACCCAATCTCGCATCCCGAATCTCGCAATTAAACAAACTATACCTGCTTGGAAAGCTAAAAAAAAAACCGAGGAAAACGAATTCACATAGTTCGAAGCAAAATGTTTATAAAAACATGATTTAGGGCCTGATGGAAATCGTGATAATTGTCAAGTAAATGCTATATATATATATATACTAACAATTCTTAAGTTAATAAAGTATTTTTATTTTGTAATGAGTTAACTCACCTGAATAACACATGATTTAGAAGATTCTGCTATGGAAGATAATTTAGCACAACAAAAATAAATACCAACAAGTCCAGCTAATGTCAACTGAAATTGAAAATAAAACATCTTAAAAAGATAGGATAGTAGATAATGACACATGAAGACACAATTAAATCATTTTTTGACAAATACATAGGCCGTTTGGTTTTACTTGACTTTTTACCAATCTGATTAAAACACAGATCCTATTTCGTTTCGTTATTTATAGTTCAAAATTTCGTTTTACTTGTCTTTACTACACTAGGAGCTGGAAGGGTTGTTATATAACCCGTGTTTTGGATGATGTGAGGGATTAGCCAATGAAATGGTGTGTTACGGCGAGTTTTTGGCGTGAGTTGCACGGAACTGTGGGTAACCCACTAGAAACATCAACGCCGATGGGACGAAAAACCGAGGCCCATGTACACACTGTCGTACATGTAAAAGAACCCTTCGCAGTTGGAATTCGATATTAGAGTAGGCTGTAGCGCCGCTATCCGAGCAAAAGTTTCTCTCATCTCATATCACACTGTATGGCGTTTGCCCGTCTTCATTAGCCCAGTAGAGTCCGAACTGTAGGGCACGTAAGTTTGAATGTATCAAATGTTAAACATACATTATGCAAGAGCTAAATCTGCCTATTACATATCTTTCTTTAGGCCTTAAATGTTGTCTAAATTATTAATTAGACATTATTTAACAAAACAAGACCATAACCAACTCTCGATGTCATCGCTAGCCTGCAACATTTACTGGATTAGAATGGTTCGCCATCTAAAAATTTAATTTAAATGCAAAGTCTCGAATATACCAGTGTCCTGATTACCACTATGCACACATCTTTGTCAAAACTACAAACAGTAATAACTTGGCTCAGAATGAAGTAATTTGAATGAAATTTTCAATATTTTCATTTTGCATTATCTATTTTTGAATTATAGCAAGAATGGTCAGTTCTTTATCTAAATCCCACATAATGTATCTTTAGGATATGTGTACTGGTATCTTTGAGAGTATTTATATCTGAACACAAGGTACAATTTTATGTATACACAATTACTGAGTTTAACATTAAGCGACGTTTCGACGAGGATGCCCTCGACTTTATCAAGCAAGTCTTGAAAGTATTTATATATGAACACAATGTACAATTTTATGTATACACAATTACTGAGTTTAACATTAAGCGACGTTTCGACGAGGATGCCCTCGACTTTATCAAGCAAGTCTTGAAAGTATTTATATATGAACACAATGTACAATTTTATGTATACACAATTACTGAGTTCAACATTAAGCGACGAGGATGCTCTCGACTTTATCAAGCAAATGATACAGGTTTGTGAATAGTAGGCAAGTAGTAAATGGCCCCCTAATCAAAGGTGTTAAGCTTTAATTGTATTAGATTCTTATCTTTGTTGCATATTCTGTATAATAATATATTTGCCTACTATCGACATATTTGTATCATTTGCTTGATAAAGACGAGGGTGTCCTCGTCGAAACGTCGCTTAGTACAATGTAGTATTAAACTCAGTAATTTGTGTATCCATAAAATTGTACCTTGTGTTAATATGTTTAATTACTGAATGCCAATCAAAGAAGATATATATATGTGTATATATTGTATTTATACTGTATAACGATACCTTTGAAAGTATGTATAATTTCATACCCTATCATTGATAGATCGGCACAACCAAGACAGATCGCCATGAATGTAATTAACATCAGATATCAGTTACGTTTGATGCTATTTATCACTGTTAAACTGACAGCGTTGACTCATGAACCTGGGGCTTTCACTAATTAAATGTTTTATCACCGAATCAAACAAGGGGCATTACTCTTAAGTAATGATTAATATGTATAGAAAGTGGTTAAAAACTATAGCAGGTGTGTAACTAGCTGTAAAAGATGCCACTTCTAGTGTAAAAGCGTGACTAATTCGAATACCCATTACTATTGAATAGACAAACCTAACCAATAGTGGTGTATATCACTGGATTGTCACATTTTCAACACCTTAGTGGCATAACACCTACTTAATGACTCATGCCTGATTACTCAGAATTTTAAATAACAATTTGAGTCAAGTGGCGTGGTTTCCATGTCCAGTTTGTGTGTGACTTGGAGTAGGATCGTCTGTCCAATCTCGGAGGTTTTCTCCGGGTCCTAGCTAATTATTGAAATACAATTGAACCATACGCTAGTCCCCAAATGACCTAGTTTATGTCGAGTGGAGCTTAACACCCTCTCTCTCTCTCTCTCTCCCTCACTCTCACTCGGGGAATTGTTTTTAAGGACGATTTATATACATTCAAATTACAATAATACCCATTTTCCTCTAACTTAAAACTTTCAATGTTTCCAATGAATATAGTCATACCCCCACCCTCTCTCTCTCTCTCTCTCTCTCACACACACACACACACACGCCTGCCACATTTTAATAATCAACAAGTATGAATCATGATATAACGTTAACATTAGTTACCACATCAGCCATTGTTTCGTAAATATGGCAGCCATCAAATCCGTATATAAATACTCTTCATATTGTTCTAATAGTCAACAAGAGGAAATGGTTAGAAAGGTATTACAGCCCTACAACGTGACATGGTTTCTGGTGTTTTGTTTCAAAGGTTAAACCAGCAAATAAGTTTAAAAGAAAATATTAATTTCTATATATATGCGTACTATTTTATTGGTTGAAGTAAATATGCGTAGACTTTTATGGTTCATTTAGTCTGCGTTCCGTGTCCGTGTTGTAAAATTGTTAAAGGCCAAAATGTTCAAAGGTTTATAAAATAACTACAGCGACCGTCTCCTAGTTTGTGTGTGGGGGTATGTGGGGGTGTGTATAGGAGAGAGAGAGAGAGACAGAGAGAGATGGTTTAACTTGATACTAACTAGGTCATTGACACAAATAAATAAATAAAATCGAGATAATTTGTATTTTAAAAACTGTAAAGCCTTTTTTTTTGTAATTTCAGGAATTTCCCTCTCTGCTTACAAACTGATATGGTGATAAACAGACCGTAAACATTCTTTTAGGCTATTCTTAGTCTGATTCAGTTTATCTACGACTGGTGCTCACAATCTGGTTTCATGGGGGCGGGGGTGGGGGCGAATTGTCTAACACGTAGGTGCGCTTAAGATCATCAGGTCTGCGATTCCCCCTCTCTTTGACTGGATTTTTTAACATGGAATATAAATCACCTTTATATACATTCAATTTACACTAATACGTTCTCTTAAACCCGGGGCTTGGATGGCCGAATGGTTAGCACGTCATTGTCATTGAGTCAACTGGCGTGGTTTCGATTCCCCGGTTGTACGTGACATGCGAATTATGGAAATAAAATTGAACCATATGTTAGTCCCGAAATGACCTAGTTTGCGTCGAGTGGGCGTTAACTCTCTCTCTCTCTCTCATCTCTCTCTCTCTCTCTCTCTCTCTCTCTCTCTCTCTCTCTCTCTCTCTTTTGCATTGCGTGTAGAATCGAAGAAAAGGTGGGGGGGGGGGGTTCTGACAGGCTTTGGTGAATATTTATGATTTTGATTGATATATGTGTGTCCAATCATCGACAGGTTTAAATGATGATGCGATGATAATCACCACTATAAAATATCATTAAACATATATTATGCAAGAGCTAAATCTGTCTATTGCAGGTCTTTCTTTAGGCCTGAAATCTCATCTAAATTATTTTAATAATTAGACATTAATCAACTTATCCAGACCATAATTAACTCTCGATGCCATCGCTAGCCTGCGATGTTTATTGGATTAGGTTCCGATTTCCTGTTCGACTTTCATTCATAATTTAATAATTAAATGAATAATCGAGACAATGTTTTTTGATCCTACCGACTTTAGTAATGATGATCGAGGTTAGGCCGAAAATTCAATCGCTAAAATCTTGTTTCAGAGTGGATCAATTTGACTGAAATTTTCAGCAAATTCCCGTTACATTATCTAGTTGTTAACTATTATAGTAAGAACTGCCAGCTCTTTATCTAATCTCCCATAATGTATCTTTAATATTATAACGATCAAATTGTAATTCATTATAAATTATCTAGTAGATGCTAATTTGTCGAATTATTGCAACACGAGTTGAACAGGTACGCCATTTAGGTAGCTATTTTTAAACGTTTCAATAAAAACCACCTTGTATACGGCTTAAGTTCAACCCTTCCTGTACAACAATTTAAACCATGTGTACCAATAAACACTCGCCATATTGACGTTTGGTCCACGTTCTCTGGCTGTTTTTACAGAATGAAACTAATTTCAAGATAAATTCCACCGAGTTTAAAGTCGGGGCTAAATAAATCTTATTTCAGAACATCGACCGGCTGTTCAACAGATACACGCGTGGAGGACCGTGCAGAAATAGAAGTGATAGGAGGGGTGGGCGGCTGGCGGCCCCGGGCGTTAATTTCAGGAGGGCACCCAATCAAAGAGAGAGAGAGAGAGAGAGAGAGAGAGAGAGAGAGAGATGGGGTTTAACATCCACTCGACACAAACTAGGTCATTTCGGGACTTACATATGGTTTAATTTTATTTCAATAATTCGCATGCGCGTAGGAGTCTTTAGCAGAGGGAGGAAACCGGAGAACCCGGAGTAAACCCACGTGGTTGGACACTCCCAATCAAAGAATGAAATTAAAATGAAGGTGTTTATTTTTAAATTATCGTGGCACAAGCTGTCTTACTTAATTTTAATACACAGTTTTTACAAATTTAAAATGCCTTCTTCTCTCATATATCTAAGGAAATGAAATGAAATGAAATGAAATGGAGTTTAACGTCCTACTGTTCTGCTCCTAACCTGGGCTAATGAAGACGGGCATACGCCATACAGTGTGCTATGAGGGAAATTGTGCCCGGACAGCGGCACTACGGCCTACTCTTATATCGAATTCTAACTGCCAAGGGATCTTTTACGTGCACGCCAATGTGTACACGGGACCTCGGTTTTTCGTCCCATCCGAACGACTAGACAGCTTTCCTTGTCAGCCCCTCCGTCCTGCATCACTGACAAGGGAGAACCACG